TAGAACTGAGTTTTATGTCCAAGTGAAAAATTGTGTTAACCTCCATGCATCTCTATACTCTGTAGCGGTTTTCATGATATTAAAATCTTTAGAGTGCGTTAGTTTTAGTCTTTAATTAAGCTTCATCCTGCAGTGCTGGCACTAAGAAGAAAAGAGCTTTTAAGCAAAACAAAGGATCATTTCAAGGCCATTTACCTACAACTTTGTCATACAAAGAAACGAATATGAAAAGGCTATTCAAAATGAAACTCCTGATTGCCTCCCCAAAAAAGCAAGCTCAAACTGAAAATATTTCGTATGATGTATGTTTTCAGTTTACCGGTTCGGCTGACGTGTGACAACACCAAAACCTTTGCTGTGTCTCCATGATCATTTTTACCCTGACTTATGTCCTGAATGGCCACTCTTTCAGACACCTTTCAACATAACATTTCCTTAGCTGTCGTAACAACAGCCCTTCGAAGTTCTCCAATACGCCAACAGTACAAAAATGGATTTATGGACGAATTCATTAGCACTAAAGTGGTAGCAAAGTTCCATTCGTTTTTCCACAACTTGTACGATTGGTGCGTTGCATGAAGTGTTAATAAAATATACAGTGGCATATAACATATAACCATGCAGGTGTAGATTAAAAAATGGTTTATTGCGCTCTTTTTTAAGTCCATCATTCTTGACATGTTATTTTTATAACTAGACTCCACTGCCCGTTGTTGGGCCCGAATTTGACGGTGATGTCGACGAACAATTTGATAAATTTTAACGTAACAAAATGTCGAAATTATGAGGCAAGTTCCAATATTAACTGCCAGGATAAGGTGATATATAAGTTGGCTCCAAAAATAAAACAGCGAGGAAAGGTAATTAAAGAGCCATATAACTACAGTGGTAAAGATGACGCGAGAGTTAGTCACCAAAATGCTGTATCTCAGGTGGTAATGAAGGGCCAAATACCTATCCACACTAGACGCTGTTATTACCAGTAAAGAGACGCCGCAAACTGGATAAGCCGCTGTATCCCACACAACAGATGATAACTGGTTTTCCGTAAGTTCTTTTGCAACGTAAAACGGTTGCACAAATATGCCAACGACGAGGTCCGATACAGCTAGACCCCCTAGTATAAGCATGGACGGCGAATGAATGGAGGGAGTTCTTTTCAGAGCCATTAATATCAAAGCGTTGCCAATGATAGCTACAGGCACCATAAGAGTGTTGAGAACGCAGTTTATGATGATAATTGGTTCAGGACGAGAAAAGTTTTCCATTATAGCACTAAAGTCTGGCTTTAACAAAAATAGCCGTTGCTTTCAGTGTTCTCCTCACGCTTCACCCTTAAACCAAAGTTCTTTAGCCAACAAATGTTAAAGCAATAAAAGTCGGGGATTTCTGTCCGGAGTGCATATCATCTATTACGTAACGGTTTATGTTTTCACACGGTACAGAAAACACGCACCACACATCACGATAAAACACAAAAAGTGTTTTTCCTTAATTTTCGTGACTATTTGTGACAACGTGCTAAATGTTTTCAGCGTTCGAAGTTTCCTCTTTTCGCGCTGTGACTAATTACGTTAAACACTTACAGAGAATTTGAAAGCTTTCTGTGCGCTAAATTGCAAACGTGAAATTCAAGAATAGCTCACTCGTCCATCCTTTCAGTGACCTGGCCTTTCAATGCAGCCAGAATCAGTGGAACCTTGTAAATATATACGTTCATTCGGCGGCGAAACAAGCAGTCAAATAATGAACAAGCCGATATGGAGACGTGGGCGTCCTCTTGATATCTAGAGAATAAAATGAACCTGTCCTTTTAGAGGGCGAAGAATATCCGCTATTTCAGACTAATCAACGATACAAAAGTGATTGCTTGATTGAAAGGGTTCAAATGAAAAGAATTGAGGGAATCGTGCAACCGTAAAATTCAAGTTAGAATGGCTCACTCGTCCATCCTTTCAATTACCTGGTCTTTCAATGCATCCAAAATCGAAGGAACCTTGCAAACATATACGTCAAATAAAGAATGAGCCGATATAGCAACGTGAGCGTCCTCTTGATATCTACGTAGATAATAAAATTAAGCTGTCCATTTAGAGGGCGAAGAATATCCGCTATTTAAGACTGATCATGGATATAAAAGTGATTGATTGAAAGGTACATGGTTCAAATGAAAAAATTGAGGGAATCGCGCCTTTGCCTCTAAATTAAAATATGTTAATACACAGCGACAATCCTAAGAGGTTATTTATATGCCAAGATCTGTTAGATAATTTTCAATCAACCTGAATTTATTGAGATTGCGTTTCATTCAAATCCTAACCAGCTGCTACGCAAACCTACTTTACCTGAGTTCATCCTGTTATAATTATGTTAATTTTTGAATAAAAGCATCTTTGTTGTGAATAAGTAAAAATGTTAAGTTAAAATTACACTTCATGTCTTGGTCTTAGAAGGTAATTCTTAGCTTTTATTTACAACTACTATCTTAGGCTTTTTATTCAAAAGGATTTGTAGGCTAAATTTTGTCTTGTCTTATTTCATTGGCAAGTAGTTCTAAAACGCATGGGGCAAGAGAGACAAAGTTGTTATTTTATTTTTGACTCCGATGTTTTGAATATTAGATCGATTTTCGTTTTGTGAAACATTTGAAGAGACCCTGCTTTAAGAATTGCCCTAAAAAAGGTCCCCGAGGAAAATGGTTATTATATTTTATAAAAACGAGTAAGCTCGAGTAAGAGTTTGTTTTCTAACATTCAAAACACGAGGCATAGCTGAATGAATTTAAGCTCGAGAAAACAAGAACTGTGCCGTGACGTCATGACTTCATGTTCCTCTCATCCTCTCCTCGAGGCCGGTCTTCTCAAAAACGAACAAATGGCGGACCTCTTCGGTGACGATGAACACAGTGATAAAAGACATTTAAACGAGGAAAACGAGGCCTTTCGCAAGAAATGATTCCCACTAGATCTCTTTGGCATACTTTTGTTACACCAAAAAAGCAATTTCCTCATGTCGTTGACCAAATTTAGAAAACATTTGCGAAATCCAGTATCCATGTTTCATCGATAGTATGGGCTATTGCCAGAAAAAGTCACGGCAACCGAGGAGTCCTGGGACGAGGTTGCATTTAAGTATAGCTGGAGAAATTAAAGTGGCGGAAAATTTCACACGTTTTGGGAATAAGAAAGAGCCGTAGTTTTGCTTAAAACATGTCAAGAACAGCAAAAATACAGGACAACGGATGACAACTGCTATTTGAAGAATATTGCCAGACTAAACATCATTTTATATTCTGAAATTGCCGAAGAACAGACAAATGGAGATGGAAACTTAACAAAGATCGAGATAAGTATAGCTTAAAGTAGGAATTATTTTGAATGAATAATTAATGTTGTATAAATAGCATGCAGGTGTCTCACAGAGTAGTTATATGACGCCAAGAGGCATACATTTATTTTAACGGTCCATAACGAGCAGTATTTTAGCTTTGAGTGGAACTTACGTAATTCCTCTTTTCTCACAACTTTGAAATAATGATAATTCATCATCCTATCCGTTAAAGGGGCTGCTACTCGCATAACGGAATCCTCTTCAACATTAATTGATTTAATTTATACAAACTATACTGACAGGGTAGTCTGTTCCGGAGTCTCTCATATTGGTATCAGCGATCATAGCNAAAAAAGGTCCCCGAGGAAAATGGTTATTATATTTTATAAAAACGAGTAAGCTCGAGTAAGAGTTTGTTTTCTAACATTCAAAACACGAGGCATAGCTGAATGAATTTAAGCTCGAGAAAACAAGAACTGTGCCGTGACGTCATGACTTCATGTTCCTCTCATCCTCTCCTCGAGGCCGGTCTTCTCAAAAACGAACAAATGGCGGACCTCTTCGGTGACGATGAACACAGTGATAAAAGACATTTAAACGAGGAAAACGAGGCCTTTCGCAAGAAATGATTCCCACTAGATCTCTTTGGCATACTTTTGTTACACCAAAAAAGCAATTTCCTCATGTCGTTGACCAAATTTAGAAAACATTTGCGAAATCCAGTATCCATGTTTCATCGATAGTATGGGCTATTGCCAGAAAAAGTCACGGCAACCGAGGAGTCCTGGGACGAGGTTGCATTTAAGTATAGCTGGAGAAATTAAAGTGGCGGAAAATTTCACACGTTTTGGGAATAAGAAAGAGCCGTAGTTTTGCTTAAAACATGTCAAGAACAGCAAAAATACAGGACAACGGATGACAACTGCTATTTGAAGAATATTGCCAGACTAAACATCATTTTATATTCTGAAATTGCCGAAGAACAGACAAATGGAGATGGAAACTTAACAAAGATCGAGATAAGTATAGCTTAAAGTAGGAATTATTTTGAATGAATAATTAATGTTGTATAAATAGCATGCAGGTGTCTCACAGAGTAGTTATATGACGCCAAGAGGCATACATTTATTTTAACGGTCCATAACGAGCAGTATTTTAGCTTTGAGTGGAACTTACGTAATTCCTCTTTTCTCACAACTTTGAAATAATGATAATTCATCATCCTATCCGTTAAAGGGGCTGTGTCACGGCAGTCCAGTTCATTTTTTAATTTCCTAATCTGGCTGAATTTCGTGACACAGCTCCTTTAATCACAAAAGGAACAAATTATATAACCTTCCTAAAATTGAAAAATGGATATGGAACTACATGTCACATGTAAGAGAAAAAGCATTTTGCCCTAGGTGTGAAGTAAGTGTTAATGTTGGCTTATGGAGGGATAGCCCCTTTGGAAATGAGTGTCTCGGAAACGAGTAAGAAATTGAAGGTTCTTTGAAGGACATGACGTAACCACAGGAAACTTCCGGGCTGATAAATAGCTTTTTAAAACGGTTGTGTTCTCAGGGATTACACTAGCAACCGACCTATAAACTAGCACCTTCAATAGGCCATTTGCACGATGGCGTCATTTTTAACTACGACTAGAATCCTTTTCGTTTTTCCTATCATATTTAAATTTTGTAATCCCAGTGAGGTTTGAAAAACAAAAGCCCTAATAAGCACAAGAAAGCAAAACCTTGAAGGATTCTGGCCGTAGTAGTAAAATGAAGTCATCGTGCAAATGGCCTATTCTACCATGTTTTGATTCATCTCAGCTAACTTTGAAAGGCCAACTGTGAAGGGTTAAGTGGCAAAAAATAAATCGTTGCTAACTCGGTCAACGGTATCTGTAAACAAAGATTCGCCTATATTAGGTATACACAACCTTAAATTTCGGTTTACTTTGCATTTTACTTCAGAACGAGTGTCAGCCGGACTCACACAAATAGAATAGTTGGTGGGTGGGTTTTTAACGAATGGACCCCACTTCCTTCTAAGACATAGTTAAACGTCCTTTAAAGAAGCCAAAAAAAATTTGAATTTCATTTGCTGGTTTTGTAAAAGTCGTTTCACCGCTTAGAATAAATATTTGCTTTCAAAAGTAAGATAAAAGGGGTGCCACAGAGCCACAGTTATCTTGATAGCAAAGTGCTGTGCGGATGTTTTCACATTGAGCTTTTGCCATCGAATGAATACGGCCTTTTTGACGATGACGTTATGTGCCCTATGACCATTTACCTCGTTTGCGTGTCTGATTATATCAGTTATCTTGATAGCCCATCGGTTATGGTAGGTATTAATTTTCCTCTTTTGAATAGGAATCGAAGTTAGTAGTTCAAATCAGGCTTTGCTTCCAACAGCCACAAACAACTTTAACTCGAATTCTAAACGATCGTGGTATTAACAAAGGTAGAAGGCCTATTCATTTCATTTAGCCTTATGACAAAGTTTTCAAATCTCCTACGGCGTGCAATTATAAAGATGAGAGCTTTTCTGTAAAGGCGTATTTGATTTCCGGAGCGGTTCAGATGTTTAATTTCAATTAGTTTCGGTTCACACGAAGAATCTCTGTATCACAGATCTCTATTGCAAGAATCAGGCGTGCAAGTTATCTCGGAGAGTATTGACCAGTATTTTACAGAACTTTGCGTTGTTTGCAGTATTCAACTCAAAATGGTTACGCCAATAATTGTCACCGTAAATTGTATGATCAATGTCCCACTGATGCTGCTATCTATTGCTGGTAACGTTATTGTGCTGGCCACAGTTTTCAAGACACCTTCTCTTCACTCACCTTCATATCTCTTACTAAGCGGCCTCGCCGTTTCAGACTTGGGTGTTGGATTGTTAGTGCAGCCATTTTATATTGCAGAGAAGCTCTCGTCAACGGAATTTCTCCGCAATCTTATGACAACCATGGGATTCGCGTTCTGTGGAGTTTCATTCGGCACCATGGCACTGATAAGCGTAGATCGGTACTTGGCTCTTCTTTATCATTTGGAGTACAGGTCTAGAGTGACAACATATCGTGTTGTAATCACAATGTCTTTTGTTTGGTTCCTTCACTTTATTTTGCTGAACAGATTTTGGGTACCACCTAAATATATTTACATCGGCTTTGCTCTTCTACTCATATATATCACAGTGGCTACCGTGTCTTACCTTCAGATTTATCGAATAGTACGACGGCATCAGTTGCAGATTCAGAATCAAAATCAGGCCGTGCTAAGTCGATCCAATTCCCTGTCTCAAAAGCGTTCTGCTACGAATACTCTGGTGTTTTACGTCAGTGCGGTCATTTGTTACTTTCCTTGGTGTGTTTATCGTATTGCCCATGGAGATATCTTCGTTGCAAATATAAACACAGCGTGGATCTTTACAACCAGCCTGGTTTTTGCAAATTCGGCCATTAATCCGTTTTTATACGGTTGGCGTCTTCGTGAACTTCGGAATGAAGTTAAAAAGACTATGAAGAAAACTTTGCGTATAAGTCAAACTGAGCAAACGTAGACTTCTTGTTCTTTCATTCCATTTTATAAAGAAAGTATTAAGTTACCGTTATTTTTCAATTCTGTTTTAAATCATCGTAAGTGAAACTTGTGATGTGATTTTGTCAAATCGACAAAATATTACATGCTATTTTATGCCATTAAATTTGCTTCAGCCTGATATTCACCGAGGCATTTTACTGACAGAGGCTTACTGTAACGTTGTACACTATTTGTAATTGATGTGGTTAGGAAGGATTTGAATTCTCGTAAGGTTTATAGGTTCGTAATATGAATAAAATATATCATTAATTGCTATCTAAATGCATAAAAGTAAATGTGAATTAATTTTAATTTCCGGTAGCGAAGTTTCCTGTGGAAGAATAAGCGTTCCACCGAAGAATAACCTGGAAAGTAAAAATTAAGTTTTGCGTTATAAACTTATGTTTTGTAAGCTAAACGTTTATGCCTGGGGGTATTAAGCAATTTTGACGCCTTCAGTTCCAAAGTGACCAACATCATTTTTCCCCTAACAGTATAAATACATAATAATAAAACAAAAGGTTACGCGAATTAACTTGAAAATGATCACCGAAGGGAAAATACCTGCCTATTTTTAATAACTTCTCTTAACTCCAAATAATTCTTGAAGGCAAGTCTGAAGAATTTGCATGAGGAAATAAAACGTAGCCAGCAAACAAAAGACTTAAGAAAGAGTTCAACTCCCACAGGGTTTGTTTAAAACACCCAACACGGCAGCCGTTTCATTGTTTTGAAAAACCAATATGGCCGCCGTGACGTCATGTGAAAACGTTCTATTAAGGCTAAGACGCAGGGTTAAATTGGGTGCCTGCTCAGGAGTTTAATCGGACTGATCTTACTTTAAGTAAATGCTTATCTGGCGAAACACCTGACAAACAGTCCGGGTTGGAGCTAGTGTTAACCCGAATTCACGTGTAGGGGCAACAGTTGTGAATTACAACTAAAGATGTAGAAAAAGCCTTAGAATTTCAATAAAATTTGCCTTCGAAAAGGAACGTTAAGTACTGTTTAAAAAGAGAATAGGAGTGAATTATCAGGTTTAAAAACCCTAGGCTTCGCCTTAAGTTTTTAAACCCGATAATACACCGACTGCGAGTTTTTTTGAACGGCTTCAAAATCTCTGATATAAATCAACTCATTCTTGTACTAATATAGGTTTGGGGTTATTTTGGACAAAAAAATAAATGGACGCAAAGTACAGTCGTATCTTTACCAGATATAAAGACACTCGTTAAACATATGCTTGCTTTGCTTTACCCCGGAGACACGACGGTTTCCTTGTAAATGTTAATTATTTAGAATTGGAACAATTAATCCAGAAATCTCTAACTTAACTGTCACTTTTATATTTGCATTAGACTACGAGTAGTCCCCTATTTTTCCTCAGGGATAGTAGAGCGAGCGAAACGCGATCGCGCGTGAAAATCACCCCACGCGAGAAAAAGCGACACGCGGCGGCGAGAGAGAAAAACACGCGCTCTCGCGTTTCGCACGCTCTACTATATTTGCATAAACCTCAATTATCAGATGAAAAGAACACAATGGACAGGGCGCCCAATTCAATAACCAGTGACATGCTTTATAGTATTTGTAACTACAATTATAACATCACTGAATAATTATGAGAAATGGATAATTTTTTTGAAAACTACTTTGAGAGTAATCTTTCGTCGCTTCACTTGCATCAGATAAAAGCATTTCTCAGAGATACTAGCCTATTTTTGGCTGCTCTGTAATTCGAGATAAAAAAAAGTTTTATGTATGTATGTATGTATGTATGTGTATGTATGTATGTATGTTACAGATGGCAAATCGCTTACCCCCAAAAAACCATACAAATGGCAAATTAAAGACGCAATGATCTATGTTCTAACGCTTATCCATTTAACACGGCATCATGAATTTCACTAGAGCGGGCGATTGGAACAGCTCGGATCAAACACACGCGACGATTGTCTTAGTAAACTGTGCGCTTAATGCGCCACTAATACTCCTTTCCACTGCTGGCAATGTGTTAGTGCTGGTGGCTTTATCGAAAACGTCTTANTTCCTTGTAAATGTTAATTATTTAGAATCGGAACAATTAATCAAGAAATCTCTCACTTAACTGTCACTTTTGTATTTGCCTAAAACTCAATTATCAGTGAAAGAACTCATTGGACAGGGCACCCAATTCGATAACCAGTTATATACGTTGTAGTATTTATAACTTCAATTATAACATCACTGAATAATTATGAGAAATCGAAAATTTTTTTGAAAATTACTTTCGTCGCTTCTATTGCATCAGATAATAGCTTGTTTAACGGATGGCAAATCGCGTACCCCCCCAAAAACCATATAAATGGCAAATTAAAGACGTAATGATCTATGTTCTAACGCTTATCCATTTAACACGGCATCTTGAATTTCACTGGAGGAGGCGATTGGAACAGCTCGGATCAAACACACGCGACGATTGTCTTAGTAAACTGTGCGCTTAATGCGCCACTAATACTCCTTTCCACTGCTGGCAATGTGTTAGTGCTGGTGGCTTTATCGAAAACGTCTTACGTTCACTCAACTTCGGTAATCATGCTGGCAAGCCTTGCGTTTTCGGATCTTCTCGTTGGTCTTCTAGCTCAACCACTTTTTATTGTGGACGAACTTAAAAGCTTAACAACGCAAGACCCTATACTTTACCGTCTGTCAGCAATGATAGGGTTTTTCGTCGGTGGAGTGTCTCTTGGAACAATAACAGCCATTAGTGTGGATCGCTTCATGTCTCTTCACTACCACATGCGATACGCCATCATAGTGACCAACACTCGAGTCAAATACACCGTAGGAGCAATCTGGCTGGCCATTTTCCTCTCTTTAATATTTTATCTTTGGAACAAGTACATTTTTCACCTTCTTGGAGGTGTCTTTTCCGCTGTATGTATTATAATTAGCACAATATCTTACGTAAAAATTTATCAAATTGTTCGTTATCATCAGTCTCAAATTCACATTCAGCATCACACTGTAGGAAACACAAAATTTGAAAGCAAAATGCGCCTCGCGCGATTGAAGCAAAGTGCAATGAACACGTTTATATTTTACATTTGTATGATCTTCTGTTATTTTCCACATTTTGTTTTACTGATAATATTTGGAACACTGCACATAGAATGGACACCAGAATGGACCTTTTCTACTACGGCTGTTTTTATGAACTCATCCATCAACCCGATCTTGTATTGCTGGCGGCTTTGTGGGCTTAGAAAAGAAATTCTAGCAATTATAAAGGCGATAAAGCTATTACCATCTATTTAACCCAATGCAAGCTACTGAAACAAATATAAAACTTGCATATCCATCTTCGTAATTTCGATGCATTGGAAGTGGGAGTATAAACTGTTGAATTAAGCATATGGTATTGTTGTATAAATATTTGACTAATGGTTTTTTAAAATAGAAACCTTTTAGAGGAACGGGTATATAAGACTCCAAGGGCATAAGGAATTCTGTTAACAATTCTGTTAACAATAATATAATGGAGCGGCTTTACTTAGAAACTGGAGCGCTCACTCTAAAATACAAGCAACGCGAGCTCAGAATTTTAAAATAGAAAATCGAGAACTCGAACCGCTCTCTTAAAAGTTTATTCATTGCTCTTCTTTTGCTCTTCTTTTTCATTCTTCAGTTAACTGCCTTTAACTGTCTTTAATAGTATCTTATGTTAAGGTTTGTGATGTTAGAGAGTGAAATACAGTTTATGCACACCAACATGTGCAGAACATGCAGAATAATGAATAAATATAATTAAGATGTCAAACACGACCACTTTATAAGTGCGCAGCTATTAACAAGCACCAATGGTGAAAATCCAAGAACTTCATTCCTTATATTAGGAATTAGAAACACAGGATAAGTATAAAGCCAAAATCCAAAAACAGAAATCCCAGATGGAGAATAATGATCACAACTGAATACGTGAAGGATAGAACGGATAGGATTTCAGGCAAAATTGAATGCGTCGAAATAGGAAGGCGAAGTAATTATAACACCTGCTTGCTTTCACGCAATCATTCTAAACGGGTCATTTGTCTCCGTCATTAAATTTGTTGAATTTTACATGATGTACTTCTGCATAGTGCTTTGAAAAAGTTTATTACAACCAAAAGATTATCATAAAGATACGGCAAAACGGCAACAAATAGGCGCACTGTTTTGGAACATTCCCGCAAAAAAAGTTGAACAGCGATGTTGCTTGTTTTTTTACCTATGATTTGTTGCAAAACAGGCTTGAACATGGATGATACATACATACATACGTATACTTTATTTATGCTCGAAATTTACAGAGTTGTTGCAGAGCTATTATATTATATTCGAGAAAATATGTTAAAATAAAATAAAATATGCTATATTACAATTCCAATATTATTTATAAACTATATACAACATTATGCATGCAGAGAGAGATATAACTTGTAAATCTACTGTGGAAAAGCTTCATATCTGAGGATCTCCTGCTTGAATACTAGAAAATTTAATGTTTTGTAAGTGTCTGGGAGAGAGTTCCATATTTTGCTAGCTAAGTATGAAAAAGGGTGCAGGCCGTAAGTCCTAGTTTTTGGGTTGGGAAGGGCCAGGATATGATTTCCGCGCAAATCGTAGGATAATTTAAATAACCTGGATAAAACGCGCAACATCGCTTTTCAACTCGTTTTGCAAAACAAGTTGGACTGGACTAGGGCAGGCGGATTTGGGATCGTTATACGTTTCTGGGAAACTGCCCACCTACCCCACCCCTAAGCCAACATTATCATATATTTGTTATTGTTTGCCTTCCGCCCTTCTTTTCCCCGCAAGGTTTTTTTTGTTCCGAACGGAATATTCATCGCACGACGTCTCTTCGTCACTGGATTTATCAAAAGACTCTCACATCGGTGATAAATATAAGCAGAATCACATTCACAGTCCTCATATCTAGTATTATTGTCAAAAAGGTCCTCTTCAGGTCTTGCATCAAATTCAGAGAAGGTAATGATAACAGAAACGGAATTTATTCATCTCCTACGGAGGTGATTTCCGACGCCATTTTGTTTGTTTACCTTTGCGTGGTGCCCTCGCAAAAAATGCAGGCGCTTGTCACACGAGATGGCACAATTTGTACTAGAAATAGCGCATTTGGCTATTTCGATGGAACCAACCCTATTACTGGAAATGGTCTCCAGTTACGGTCTCCTACCCCGAATATGGCTCCTGATGGTATATGAAAACGTAAGGGGTTTGACCTCGGGGCAGGGCTTCCCGCATATAAAACTTTGTTGAGTACCTCCCCCCCCTCCGTGCGTATCAGGGCTTAAAGCTTGGAATTAAAACATATCTAGCTACCTGACATCTTCAAGCAGCTTACCTGTTTGTCTGAAGCTCCGCGCTTAGGTTAAAAAAAAAAAAAAAAGCTTTGCGCTTGAAATCCTATCGGTTGTATTAGCGTCATACTTTCGTGATGTGATGACCCTCAAATTAAGAGTAGGAGAAGAGAGAAGATGGACATTTGAACCTTTATCAGATTAATAGCATGAGATTGATGTGACAGGTTTGTCAATTCAGTTGTATTGAATGTTATATCATGCCAGTGGGAGGTTGAAATGTATTATTGATAATCGGTAACTTAAATTTGCAGCTCTTAGTTTATATCAATTCACCTGTTAGTTTGAGTAAAATTAAAAGTTACTAGATGTCAAGCTATAAGACAAAAAAAAAAAATGCACGACCACTTTCTTCTTTGGTCGTTTTTTTTTTGAAAGTATCATTCAAAACTGTTACTTTGTAAAAGGTGGTTGATTTTAACTGAAACAGGATATGATATGATAATTTTTGGACGCTTATTACCCTTGCACTTTGTAAACACATATTAGGTTTCTTATACAGCTGTAGCTGCCATCTATACACTCAGAATATAATGTGAATGATGGCTCAAGCCGTGAAAGTATCACTTAAGGCACTACTTCCATTAAGATGTGACTTTTACTTTTAAATTCACATCTTAATTTTATTAATATAATTGATCGCCGATAAAGCAATGTCATGTTTGAAGTCGGATATTGAACTACAATTTCCTTGGTAATTCTAAAGTTCTTCGCGTTCAGATAAATCGGGAGCATCACAGCATAATGCGGGAGGACTGGGGGATAGGAGTGGGGAGGGTCGGGGCTCGGAAGGTAGGAGAAGGAAGAACGGAAGGAGAGATTGAAAAGGAGAAGCAGCAGAATTAGAGGAAGATCACCCAACGATGCTTGATATGTTGCAATCGAAACAGAGCTAACGAAGCTAAAGGGAGGATGGAGAGCGCGAGCTGGGAATGCAAGGCACAGGAGGTGGGTGGTGGGAGGTTTGGATCCCTCCCCTGTCCCCCCCCCCCTCCCCTGTGTAGTACTGAAGGTAAAATGACAATCCACTCTGGATATGCTTTGTTGAGTCAGGCGGCTACTTTCAGTAAAAGTGTGGTGAAAAGGTGATATACCAATTTCTGTCAATATCTTAGTATACCCCCCAAAATGGGGAAACTGAGGGATATTGCACGAAGAGCTAACTAAGTGATTGTAATTACCAATTCAAATGCCAGTGACACTATTAATATGAAAATGCATGAAACGTGATGAGAAATATAAAACGTGACAGGCGGACGTGCAAGGCTAGATGCTGTTACTGAAAATCAACTGGAATTGGGATTCTAATTATTGTTTGCAGTTTGTGAGAAACTCGTTCAGTCAAGATGGTATTGAATTCTACAGCTGATGTTACTAACACCTTAAGAAATCATTCGAATGCTGTAGACACTTTTGCGATTGCAAACTGTGCGTTAAACGTCCTATTGGTCCCTATAGCGATTATTGGGAACGCTTTAGTGTTGGGTGCCATTTTAAGAACCACGTCGCTCCACTCACCATCAATGGTATTTATTGGAAATCTAGCCATCACAGATCTTATTGTTGGACTGATGATTCAGCCATTGTACATTACCAGTATTTTGCTCACAGATGTCCCCATCCTCAAAACTGTCGTGGAAATAACGGCCTATCCGATGTGCGGTGTTTCACTGTGTACTTTAACAGTCATAAGTGTTGACAGATTTATGGCCTTACACTATCACATGCAGTATAGCACTTTGCTGACAACATCTCGAGCTGTACGTATTGCAGTGATTATATTCTGCATCATCTATCTCGCAAGTGCCATTTTATACTTTTTGAACAAAACTGTGTTTTTATTCGTCGCCGCCTTAGTCATTTGTCTTTGTTTTCTAATATCAATCATTTCTTACATCCAAATTTATCGAATCGTTCGTCGACATAAACATCAAATTCACGCCCAGCAATTGATAGTTCAAGGTACAAATGCTCCTACGAACTGGAGCCTCATGATTCAGCTCAAGAAAAGCGCATTGAACACATTTATGTTCTACATCGTTACCATTCTCTGTTATATACCTGTGGTTGCTTCTTTATGTGTTTACAGTTTGTCTTTTAACAACTGGACAAAGTCATGGAACTTCGCTGATACTCTAGCATTCATGAACTCATCTTTAAATCCATTTTTGTTTTGTTGGCGTCTTAACGGGCTTCGATCAGCAGTCGTAAATATGACAAGGCAGAAGTTATGTTGCTAACAATTTTCATGTAATTATCGTCGGGCTTCTGGGAATTTCTGAACGATGTTGTTTATACCAGTTCAAGTCCATTATAAACATACAAATTTGGCAAATAAATAAAAAAAAACAAGTAAACTGTTGTAAACACTGAATCAGTGGTTACTCTGTACTGACACGTTGATGGGTGTGCAGCACTTAAAAACATCATATACAGAGGAGATGTCGTAACGTCACTTTGCCATGCAAAATTTCTGGATAACAACAAACCAGAAACGTCACTTAAAAAGTGAATTCGCACGAGTTTGATCGTAGCACGAGTCAAGTTCGAGCCCGAGTCAAGTTCGAGTCACGAGTCAAGTTCGAGTCAATTTTTTTTTCACATTTTTTTTTCCAATAATATCGTTTGACTATACTGTAAATATTATCGTAGTGAAACTTGTGATGTGATTTTGTCAAATCGACAAAATATTACATGTTATTTTATTCCATTAAATTTACCTTCCATCTGAAATTCACCGAGGCATTTTACTGAGACTTACTCTACCGATACTGTTCGTTGTACACTATTTGTAACTGATGTGGTTAGGAAGGACTTGAATTCTCGTAAGGTTTATAGGTTCGTAATTTGAAAAAAATATATCATTAATTACTATCTAAATGCCTAAAGGTAAATGTGAATTAATTTTAATTTCCGGTAGCGAAGTTTCCCGTAGAAGTATAAGCGTTCCACCGAAGAATAACCTAGAAAGTAAAAATTAAGTTTTGCGTTATAAACTTATGTTTTGTAGTCTAAACGTTTATGCCTGAGGGTATTAAGCAATTTTTGACGCCTTCAGTTGCAAAGTGACCAACATCATTTTTCCCCTAACAGTTTAAATACATTATAATAAAACAAAATGTTACGCGAATTTACTTGAAAATGATCACCCAAGGGAAAATACCTGCGTATTTTTAATAACTTCTCTCAACTCCAAATAATTCTTGAAGGTAAGTCTGAAGAATTTGCATGAGGAAATAAAACGTAACCAGCAAACAAAAGACTTAAGAAAGAGTTCAACTCCCACAGGGTTTGTTTAAAACACCCAACATGGCAGCCGTTTCATTGTTTTGAAAAACCAATATGGCCGCCGTGACGTCATTTGAAAACGTTCTATTAAGGCTAAGACGCAGGGTTCAATTGGGTGCCTGCTCAGGAGTTCAATCGGACTGATCTTACTTCAAGTAAATGCTTGTCTGGGGAAACACCTGACAAACAGCCCTGGTTGGAGCCATTTCCGGTTACTCGATGACGGTCACCGATAATGGCGTCGGGCCAGGCGACATCGAGGAAATAAAATCTTCCCTACAGGAACGACCAGATAAAAGCTACACGTGTGTCGTTTATTGCCCTTGACATTTCCCTTGTCATGCTGTTATTCTTTCTTTTGCGGAAAATGCAAGTCAAGGTTTCGAAAATATTTTGACAATAATTTATGAAGAGAACAAAGAATATCCGCTGAGAGCGTGGGGGAGGCTTTGGGATCTGATATCCAGATATCGAAAAGCTACTCCTCGTTTTTTTAACCCTGCACTATTGTTTTCTTGTTTAATATAACATTTAACAATTATTAAATTTGGCTTTCCTACTCATGTGATGAAACTTCATGAATTTTGCAAATCAATGACAATGTTTGTCACCAAAGCCACATTATTCATTCAAAATATTTCCTAAGTCCTTAACAAGTTTACTTCCTTGTAGACTTTCTTAACTTCAAAACTTTGGCCTAGTTTTTGGCACGGTTTCAGGATATAAACAGATGTTTTTTTCTGGCACATTCCCCTCAAAAAAGGAAATACGTCTTTCGTATTCCTGCATTTCGTTTCGTTCAGTTTCTGTCAGGAATATATTCAGCTATTTCGTCTTCGGATAGACGTGAACGCCATTTTTAGTTTACTATTGCCTAAGCACCCTCGTTTCCAGGTAAACATACCATCGATCAACCTCGTTTCCAATTAAATAAACCATTGAATCGAAGGTATATTGCACGCATCTTCCAAATATGTTATAACCGAAGATGAAATAGCTGAATTTCTGACTTAAATAGGGAAAATACAAGAATAAGTAGCATTCTTCACCCTACTGACGACAGCCGAATTCAATAATTGCTAATTCATTTACTTCGTGCTGTGACTACAGAGCGTTAACTCGAATTCACGTGTATGGGCAACAGTTGTGAATTACAACTTACTAAAGATGTAAAAAAAGCCTTAGAATTTGAATACCAAGCACAATCTTTGTATTTACTCTCGAAAAAGAACGTCAAGTGCTGTTTAAAAAGCGACCAGGAGTGAATTATCTGGTTTAAAAACTCTCGGCTTCGCCTCGAGTTTTTAAACTTGATAACACCGACTGCGAGTTTTTTTAAACGGCTTCAAAATCTCTGCTATAGATCAACTCATTCTTGTGCAAATATTTAGGTTTGGGGTTATTTTGGACTAAAAAAAATGGACGCAAAGTACAGTCGTATCTTTACCTGATATAAAGACACGCGTAAAACATAAATTTCTGTTGTTTTTTCTTCAATTAATTATTAAATAAATGAGTTTTTGAGATGCATGCTTGCTTTGCTTTACCCCGGAGACGCGACGGTTTCCTTGTAAATGTTAATTATTTAGAATCGGAACAATTAATCAAGAAATCTCTCACTTAACTGTCACTTTTGTATTTGCCTAAAACTCAATTATCAGTGAAAGAACTCATTGGACAGGGCACCCAATTCGATAACCAGTTATATACGTTGTAGTATTTATAACTTCAATTATAACATCACTGAATAATTATGAGAAATCGAAAATTTTTTTGAAAATTACTTTCGTCGCTTCTATTGCATCAGATAATAGCTTGTTTAACGGATGGCAAATCGCGTACCCCCCCAAAAACCATATAAATGGCAAATTAAAGACGTAATGATCTATGTTCTAACGCTTATCCATTTAACACGGCATCTTGAATTTCACTGGAGGAGGCGATTGGAACAGCTCGGATCAAACACACGCGACGATTGTCTTAGTAAACTGTGCGCTTAATGCGCCACTAATACTCCTTTCCACTGCTGGCAATGTGTTAGTGCTGGTGGCTTTATCGAAAACGTCTTACGTTCACTCAACTTCGGTAATCATGCTGGCAAGCCTTGCGTTTTCGGATCTTCTCGTTGGTCTTCTAGCTCAACCACTTTTTATTGTGGACGAACTTAAAAGCTTAACAACGCAAGACCCTATACTTTACCGTCTGTCAGCAATGATAGGGTTTTTCGTCGGTGGAGTGTCTCTTGGAACAATAACAGCCATTAGTGTGGATCGCTTCATGTCTCTTCACTACCACATGCGATACGCCATCATAGTGACCAACACTCGAGTCAAATACACCGTAGGAGCAATCTGGCTGGCCATTTTCCTCTCTTTAATATTTTATCTTTGGAACAAGTACATTTTTCACCTTCTTGGAGGTGTCTTTTCCGCTGTATGTATTATAATTAGCACAATATCTTACGTAAAAATTTATCAAATTGTTCGTTATCATCAGTCTCAAATTCACATTCAGCATCACACTTTTACAAACACAAAATTTGAAAGCAAAATGCGCCTCGCACGATTGAAGCAAAGTGCAATGAACACGTTTATATTTTACATTTGTATGATTCTGTGTTATTTTCCACATTTTGTTTTGCTGATAATATTTGGAACACTGCACATAGAATGGAGACCAGAATGGACCTTTTCTACTACGGCTGTTTTTATGAACTCATCCATCAACCCGATCTTGTATTGCTGGCGGCTTTGTGGGCTTAGAAAAGAAATTCTAGCAATTATAAAGGCGATAAAGCTATTACCATCTATTTAACCCAATGCAAGCTACTGAAACAAATATAAAACTTGCATATCCATCTTCGTAATTTCGATGCATTGGAAGTGGGAGTATAAACTGTTGAATTAAGCATATGGTATTGTTGTATAAATATTTGACTAATGGTTTTTTAAAATAGAAACCTTTTAGAGGAACGGGTATATAAGACTCCAAGGGCATAAGGAATTCTGTTAACAATTCTGTTAACAATAATATAATGGAGCGGCTTTACTTAGAAACTGGAGCGCTCACTCTAAAATACAAGCAACGCGAGCTCAGAATTTTAAAATAGAAAATCGAGAACTCGAACCGCTCTCTTAAAAGTTTATTCATTGCTCTTCTTTTGCTCTTCTTTTTCATTCTTCAGTTAACTGCCTTTAACTGTCTTTAATAGTATCTTATGTTAAGGTTTGTGATGTTAGAGAGTGAAATACAGTTTATGCACACCAACATGTGCAGAACATGCAGAATAATGAATAAATATAATTAAGATGTCAAACACGACCACTTTATAAGTGCGCAGCTATTAACAAGCACCAATGGTGAAAATCCAAGAACTTCATTCCTTATATTAGGAATTAGAAACACAGGATAAGTATAAAGCCAAAATCCAAAAACAGAAATCCCAGATGGAGAATAATGATCACAACTGAATACGTGAAGGATAGAACGGATAGGATTTCAGGCAAAATTGAATGCGTCGAAATAGGAAGGCGAAGTAATTATAACACCTGCTTGCTTTCACGCAATCATTCTAAACGGGTCATTTGTCTCCGTCATTAAATTTGTTGAATTTTACATGATGTACTTCTGCATAGTGCTTTGAAAAAGTTTATTACAACCAAAAGATTATCATAAAGATACGGCAAAACGGCAACAAATAGGCGCACTGTTTTGGAACATTCCCGCAAAAAAAGTTGAACAGCGATGTTGCTTGTTTTTTTACCTATGATTTGTTGCAAAACAGGCTTGAACATGGATGATACATACATACATACGTATACTTTATTTATGCTCGAAATTTACAGAGTTGTTGCAGAGCTATTATATTATATTCGAGAAAATATGTTAAAATAAAATAAAATATGCTATATTACAATTCCAATATTATTTATAAACTATATACAACATTATGCATGCAGAGAGAGATATAACTTGTAAATCTACTGTGGAAAAGCTTCATATCTGAGGATCTCCTGCTTGAATACTAGAAAATTTAATGTTTTGTAAGTGTCTGGGAGAGAGTTCCATATTTTGCTAGCTAAGTATGAAAAAGGGTGCAGGCCGTAAGTCCTAGTTTTTGGGTTGGGAAGGGCCAGGATATGATTTCCGCGCAAATCGTAGGATAATTTAAATAACCTGGATAAAACGCGCAACATCGCTTTTCAACTCGTTTTGCAAAACAAGTTGGACTGGACTAGGGCAGGCGGATTTGGGATCGTTATACGTTTCTGGGAAACTGCCCACCTACCCCACCCCTAAGCCAACATTATCATATATTTGTTATTGTTTGCCTTCCGCCCTTCTTTTCCCCGCAAGGTTTTTTTTGTTCCGAACGGAATATTCATCGCACGACGTCTCTTCGTCACTGGATTTATCAAAAGACTCTCACATCGGTGATAAATATAAGCAGAATCACATTCACAGTCCTCATATCTAGTATTATTGTCAAAAAGGTCCTCTTCAGGTCTTGCATCAAATTCAGAGAAGGTAATGATAACAGAAACGGAATTTATTCATCTCCTACGGAGGTGATTTCCGACGCCATTTTGTTTGTTTACCTTTGCGTGGTGCCCTCGCAAAAAATGCAGGCGCTTGTCACACGAGATGGCACAATTTGTACTAGAAATAGCGCATTTGGCTATTTCGATGGAACCAACCCTATTACTGGAAATGGTCTCCAGTTACGGTCTCCTACCCCGAATATGGCTCCTGATGGTATATGAAAACGTAAGGGGTTTGACCTCGGGGCAGGGCTTCCCGCATATAAAACTTTGTTGAGTACCTCCCCCCCCTCCGTGCGTATCAGGGCTTAAAGCTTGGAATTAAAACATATCTAGCTACCTGACATCTTCAAGCAGCTTACCTGTTTGTCTGAAGCTCCGCGCTTAGGTTAAAAAAAAAAAAAAAAGCTTTGCGCTTGAAATCCTATCGGTTGTATTAGCGTCATACTTTCGTGATGTGATGACCCTCAAATTAAGAGTAGGAGAAGAGAGAAGATGGACATTTGAACCTTTATCAGATTAATAGCATGAGATTGATGTGACAGGTTTGTCAATTCAGTTGTATTGAATGTTATATCATGCCAGTGGGAGGTTGAAATGTATTATTGATAATCGGTAACTTAAATTTGCAGCTCTTAGTTTATATCAATTCACCTGTTAGTTTGAGTAAAATTAAAAGTTACTAGATGTCAAGCTATAAGACAAAAAAAAAAAATGCACGACCACTTTCTTCTTTGGTCGTTTTTTTTTTGAAAGTATCATTCAAAACTGTTACTTTGTAAAAGGTGGTTGATTTTAACTGAAACAGGATATGATATGATAATTTTTGGACGCTTATTACCCTTGCACTTTGTAAACACATATTAGGTTTCTTATACAGCTGTAGCTGCCATCTATACACTCAGAATATAATGTGAATGATGGCTCAAGCCGTGAAAGTATCACTTAAGGCACTACTTCCATTAAGATGTGACTTTTACTTTTAAATTCACATCTTAATTTTATTAATATAATTGATCGCCGATAAAGCAATGTCATGTTTGAAGTCGGATATTGAACTACAATTTCCTTGGTAATTCTAAAGTTCTTCGCGTTCAGATAAATCGGGAGCATCACAGCATAATGCGGGAGGACTGGGGGATAGGAGTGGGGAGGGTCGGGGCTCGGAAGGTAGGAGAAGGAAGAACGGAAGGAGAGATTGAAAAGGAGAAGCAGCAGAATTAGAGGAAGATCACCCAACGATGCTTGATATGTTGCAATCGAAACAGAGCTAACGAAGCTAAAGGGAGGATGGAGAGCGCGAGCTGGGAATGCAAGGCACAGGAGGTGGGTGGTGGGAGGTTTGGATCCCTCCCCTGTCCCCCCCCCCCTCCCCTGTGTAGTACTGAAGGTAAAATGACAATCCACTCTGGATATGCTTTGTTGAGTCAGGCGGCTACTTTCAGTAAAAGTGTGGTGAAAAGGTGATATACCAATTTCTGTCAATATCTTAGTATACCCCCCAAAATGGGGAAACTGAGGGATATTGCACGAAGAGCTAACTAAGTGATTGTAATTACCAATTCAAATGCCAGTGACACTATTAATATGAAAATGCATGAAACGTGATGAGAAATATAAAACGTGACAGGCGGACGTGCAAGGCTAGATGCTGTTACTGAAAATCAACTGGAATTGGGATTCTAATTATTGTTTGCAGTTTGTGAGAAACTCGTTCAGTCAAGATGGTATTGAATTCTACAGCTGATGTTACTAACACCTTAAGAAATCATTCGAATGCTGTAGACACTTTTGCGATTGCAAACTGTGCGTTAAACGTCCTATTGGTCCCTATAGCGATTATTGGGAACGCTTTAGTGTTGGGTGCCATTTTAAGAACCACGTCGCTCCACTCACCATCAATGGTATTTATTGGAAATCTAGCCATCACAGATCTTATTGTTGGACTGATGATTCAGCCATTGTACATTACCAGTATTTTGCTCACAGATGTCCCCATCCTCAAAACTGTCGTGGAAATAACGGCCTATCCGATGTGCGGTGTTTCACTGTGTACTTTAACAGTCATAAGTGTTGACAGATTTATGGCCTTACACTATCACATGCAGTATAGCACTTTGCTGACTACATCTCGAGCTGTACGTATCGCAGTGATTATATTCTGCATCATCTATCTCGCAAGTGCCATTTTATACTTTTTGAACAAAATTGTGTTTTTATTCGTCGTCGCCTTAGTCATTTGTCTTTGTTTTCTAATATCAATCATTTCTTACATCCAAATTTATCGAATCGTTCGTCGACATAAACATCAAATTCACGCCCAGCAATTGGTAGTTCAGGGTACAAATGCTCCTACGAACTGGAGCCTCATGATTCAGCTCAAGAAGAGTGCATTGAACACATTTATGTTCTACATCCTTACCATTCTCTGTTATATACCAGTGGTTGTTTCTTTATGTGTTTACAGTTGGTCTTTTAACAACTGGACAAAGACATGGAACTTCGCTGATACTCTAGCATTCCTGAACTCATCTTTAAACCCATTTTTGTTTTGTTGGCGTCTTAACGGGCTTCGATCAGCAGTCGTAAATATGGCAAGGCAGAAGTCATGTTGCTAACAATTTTCATGTAATTATCGTCGGGCTTCTGGGAATTTCTGAACGATGTTGTTTATACTAGTTCAAGTCCATTATAAACATACAAATTTGGCAAATAAATAAAAAAAAAAAAGTAAACTGTTGTAAACACTGAATCAGTGGTTACTCTGTACTGACACGTTGATGGATGTGCAGCACTTAAAAAGCATCATGTAGAGAGCAAAATTTCTGGATAACAACAAACCAAAAACGTCACTTAAAAAGTGATTTCGCACTGTTTCAAACTTCATCGATCTTATTCAATGTCATTTAATCTGTCAAAATGTTTGCGAAATTTTCTGGGGTTACAAAAAGAAAAAGAAAGTTTTTGTGTTGGATACTCCATAAAGTGGGCGAGTGAAATTAGAAAGTTTCATGTCGCGGTCTTGCAACGACGGCTAAGCATTTTACAAAAAAGCGTGATGTACGTGCAAAGTTGTAGTTTTGCTAATGTAAACCTATTGCTTTTTTGCCGCGCTCGTTGCCGTCACCGTTGTCGTTGCTTAAGTCCCCCATTGTTGTGATCCAGAAGTTTTGCTGCCATGGTAACGTGACGTCACACTTCTCCTCTCCGATTGAGACCCTTTCTAACGCAACACAGCTGACTGAACTTAACTCTGTTCTTACAATTAGCATGTGGTTTGAACCATGGAATCCTACAATAAGAATGTATGTGCCAGGTGATTGCAGGATCAGGAGGCATTGCGAGCGATTTCAAGAAAAAAAAGAAGAAAAAAAGAGGAAAGAGACAGAGGAAAGCACAAAAAGAAACCAGAAACTAAACGATGGTGTCAGAGCACTCTCCTCCCACCAAGGTGGACTGGGTTCAAATCCCGGCGTCGACGTCATACATGCGTTGAGATTGTTGATAACTCTCCTTTGCTCCGAGAGGTTAATATTTCTTCGGCCTTCCCCTTTCCTCGAAAAAAAAAAATTCCAAATTCTAATTCGACCAGAAGTGGTACGTAGACAAAGAGGCACTTTTTTGGATGTGCTACCTCAAAATCGTATTTTTTAATTAGATTCCTTCACTACAAACGCTTTCACTTGTGATTTTAAGTTACTCAATCTTTCCAGTACCTGGCAGGACATCGTTTCCAAGGTCTTTCGTCGTCAAGAATAGAGAGACCCTGGGGATAATGTTGAACTTAGTATGCTGTCATCTAGAGGTGTTTGAAATCCCGGGGGGACTCCGCATATGAAAGGGGTGGGGATGCTCGTCGGAAATTTTGATTTAAAACCCCTAAAGGAGACCAATCTGGGCGTGGGCCAAGCTTTTTTTGACCCCTAAAAGAGACCATGTGAAGACACAAACAATATATATGTTTTTATATTTTTTCGCGTGCAACCCTTAACGAGACCTTCACGGCTAAATATGATGGCGTTTTGCCCAGAACAAACTAAGTGAGACCAAAATCCGAAATTTACACCCCTAAGCGAGACGACGAGCATCCCCACCCCTTTCATATGCGGAGTCCCCCCTCCCCCGGGGGTTGAAAAGAGCAGGAGCCGATTACTTAAAAAGAGTAAATACTTTTACAAAATACAGTTGCTAGTCAAAGAGTAGTGTCCTTATAAGCGAGGCTAACTTTCATGAGAATCTTTTAAATTAGACAACAAAACAGCCCCATTGTCTACACTGAATTTGCAACGTAATCTTTAGAGACAAAGTAAGCTATAAATATCTTTTATGATCATCATTTGTTAATAGTGGGGCAATGAGCAACTAGAACATTGACATCATGGACTGAGATTACGAAGTCTGGCACACAATAATCCTGGATTAACTACCTACAGAGCGGTTGTCATGGTAACAAGCCCGAGATTTGCGTTAATCTTTCCAACAATTCGCCCCAAATGTCAAAAAGACATCCTAAAAATGAATCGTTTCTCTCTTTGTAACTCCATACTAAGGGAGTTAAGACAGTCATACTTGTTCCATCAAGCGAAACGCCAAACGTCCGGTTGTTATTCCTGACGTATGTCCGTGACGTCGACCTTCTCGCTGTTTAAGCACGCCTACATACGAGCCTTTTTATGCTAAAGCCGCCATAAATAAGTACGGGCTGATACCAGGTTTATTATTTTTATTTTAGTCTAAAGTGTAGAGCTCACTTATACTTTGAGGGGGCTTATAATTAAAAAATCTTTTACGGTATTCAGGTCTAATCACGAGGTCTAAACTACGTAGTTTTGATTGCGTCATTGTAATTCTAGTGCAATATCATTTTTTTATATTTAAACTCAAAATAGGCAGAAAAGATAAATTAGTAGACAGGAGCAGTGAGGTGTAAAGAAATCCAGCGCAAAGGTCGTAAAGAGGACAAATTTTTAATTGGAACTGCTTTTAATTGAGAATCGATCGACAGCGTCGATCTTATTCAAGTTAATGAATTTTTAATCAAAATTTGCTTGAAAATGTAATCGCTCGGTTTTATATGCTGTGGCCAAACAAAACTTAACTTGTTATGCTGCGTGATTATAAAGTTAAAAAGACTCGCTCTGTGTGTTTTAGAGTTCACTGTTTAGAAAAGTAAGTTAACTAATCTATCGTGATCAATTCCTTACTGAGAAGAAACTAATTTTCAGATTAATTTTCGTGTTACGGGACAGAAGCTGAAATATTTTAGCCATCTAAAAAGCAGTGAGTTACTAGAGAAGATCTTGCTCATAAGCTAGGAAGGATAAAAGGGGACAAGAGAAAGAGGTAGACCAAGAAGGCAGACCGGACTCTTTTAACGGCACTAACAGAAGTTGGAAAACTAGCGTGATCAGATAAAGAACGTTTCCGAACTGCGGGGTCGAAGATGCAACGTCCAGTAAGATATCAAGAAGCTAGATAGAAGTTGGCTGTATTGAGTAAGCAAAAAATTAATAATTTTAAAAATGAAGAAGTTAACATTAAAAATATAGAGTGCATAATACTAAGAATGAAACCTTTCGGATAAAAAAAGGAACGAAACATATTCCTCTTCCTTTTCTTCTAGCTTCTTGTTTAGATTATTCAAATGCAAATTATAGATGACAATTAATAGGCGGGTTAAGATATTTCTTTCCAGAAATAGATATGCCTAAATATTGTAATGTTTGTCGCCTACTGAACAATAAATTTACAATATATTGCGAAAAGTTATTATTACTTTCGGCAGAAACCAGTCTTCAAAGGTTGAATTTTTTGTAAGCAGAAAAGCGAGGACATTTTGAGAGTTGAAGGTCTGAGTAACGGCTCTTCGTCGCCGAAAATGAACCACGTTCTGAACATTACGGAAAACAATTTATTTATGGACTCTTTCAATCTGTCACAAAACACGTCTGGTGAAGATACTGTCTCGCACATAATAACCAGCGCCATAAACGTTCCGTCTATGCTGGTAGCCATTGTGGGCAACAGTTTGATTTTAGCCGCCATTTTGAGCACACCTTCGCTTCGTTCACCGGCCATACTTTTGCTGTGTAATCTGGCTGTTTCAGATCTTCTCGTCGGTCTCGTTATCCAGCCACTTTTCATTGTCAGCGTTTTTCACTCAACAAGTCTCTTGTTAACCGGTATATGGTTCATACTGTCGAACAGTGCATGTGGAATTTCTCTCTGTACGTTGACAGCCATAGCCGTGGATCGATTCCTCGCTCTTCACTACCACCTAAGATACTCAACAATAGTGACTTCCTTTCGCATCAAGACCTTCCTAACTGCTCAGTGGCTTACGAACTTGATATTTTCTGGTACGGTCTTCTTCTGGAGTTTACGCATATTTTCCCTTTACTTATCTATCTTTGTTTGCCTGTGCCTAATCATTTCAGTATTCTGTTACGTGAGAATATTTAAAATCGTTCGCCATCAGCAGAAAAAGATTCAATGCCAACATCAAGCTGTTAATTTGCCTCAGGGAAGCACAATTTCAAATTTGCTTCAGTTCAAGAAGAGTGCGATAAATTCGTTTTTGTTTTTTATCGTGATGGTTCTTTTTTACATTCCGGCGTCGACTTATTTCTCCCTTTTTTTCGTCACAAAAACCCCTTGGCAGAGTGGATGGAGGGTTGCAACCACTTTAGTTTATATAAACTCTTCAGTAAACCCGTTCTTGTATTGCTGGCGAATGGGTGATCTCAGAGCTGCAGTGATGAAGACTGCCAGGAAGTTGTTTTGCAGAAAATAACTATGACGACATTGGCCAATTTTGATTTGTGACTTGTTAGCTTCGCGTTCACGAATAAAGCGTGCTGTTGTTGAACTGCCATCTTGGAGTCCTCAGTTCACTTTGTTTTCTTCTCTAGCTTAAATCCACCGGCGATAATTGTCACAACAAAGAACCAGAAGGTGAAGGAAAAATAGTTTTCTTGGTTTCCTTAAAAGAAACTAAAATTAGTGTAGTAAGAAATGTATTACTAAAACAGCACAAAACGTATGCACGCTGAAGAAGTTCACCATTTCAATGGCGAGCAAATCATAAGACATTGTTAACGGAATTGATAGTGGTTAATTGTCAGAATGCCTCTCTTTAATTTTGAAACTACGCAACTGCAAACATTTGGCCAAAATAGCCAAAAATACAGTTATTTTTATATCATAACCGCTGGAAATATATTCCTTAGACAGCTCTTAGACGTAAGACCCCTAGGTAAGACCCCTGGATGTAAGACCCCTGGATGTGAGACCCCTGGATGTAAGACCTCTGGATGTGAGACCCCTGGATGTAAGACCCGTGGATGTAAGACCCCTGGCCGATGTAAGACCCCTGGATGTAAGACCCCTGCATGTAAGACCCCTGGATGTAAGACCCCTAGATGTGAGACCCCTGGATGTAAGACCCCTGGATGTGAGACCCCTGGATGTAAGACCCGTGGATGTAAGACCCCCGGATGTGAGACCCCTGGATGTAAGACCCCTGGATGTAACATCCCGGCATGTAAGACCCCTGGATGTGAGACCCTGGCTGTAAGACCCCTGGATGTGAGACCCTGGCTGTAAGACCCCTGGATGTGAGACCACTGAATGATAGACCCTTGGATGTATAGATTCCATCTTAGTTAGCTCAAGGCGTTTTGTTTATTCTAAAGTTTGTGGTGGCCAACTCGAAAGCAGTTGCTACTTTAGCCACAACACGCATTCAATATAGTATGAGCTCTGTTTTATTTTATTCAATTAGTATAGGTAATAGCATGATTTGTAGTGATATTTGATATAAATACCACGAGTGATATTTCAAAATTGTTATACTTGTAGACAATTTTGAAATGTCACGAGTGGTATTTACGCCAAATATAACGTACAAATCTTGCTATTATTTGTTTATACTACTACACACTAAAGGTTTGTAATTTTCACATGTAGGTGTTTCAAATTAAGCTGAAATACCACTGCTCTAAGCCAATCAAATTGCAGAAATTTCTCAAGTAGTATTATAAATTATTGAAGAGAATCTGTTATTGTTTTAATCTATATTTGTGAACTGAATTGGAAATGAAAAGTGTGAAAATAAATGAACTTGAACCTGAGCTTCAACTTAAGACCCATGGACGTCAAACGCTGGGATGTAACAACCCTGGGATGCACAACAACTGATTGTAAAACAATAAAGAAGATAGAAGAACAGCTGGACGTAGGAAAGTTGAGCGCAAGACTCCTAGTTGTAAAACCATGAACCCCAAACGTAAGACCGAGGCTGTAAAACCCTGACGTAAGACCCCTAGACGTAACAGCCCTAAGACTACTTAAGGTATAAAACCCCTGGACTACTTAAGACAACTAGACTTCAGACCCCTAGTCTTAAGGCTCTTGCACGAAAAAACCCTGTACGTAAAACCCTTGGAAGTAACACACCTGGATGTAAGACCCTTTGACGCAAGACCCCCGGGTGTAAGACCCCTGGACGAAAGAACCCAGGATGTAAGCTCCGTGGACGTAAGACCCTTTCACGTACAACTCCAATATGCAAGACCCCTGGATGTAAGACAGCTAGACGTAAGATCCCTAGATGTAATAAGATCCCTGGATGTAAGACCCTAGGGCTTAAGGCCCCTGGACGTAAGACCAATGGATATAAGACCACTGGTCGTAAGACACCTGAACGCAAGACCCCTGGACGAAAGAACCCAGGATGAAAGACCCCTGGAAGTAGGACTCTAGGACGGATGAAAGGCTGCTGAATGTAAGACGCGTTAAAGTAACACCCTGAACGTAAGACCCATGGATGTAAGATTCTAGGAGGGAAGAAACATGGACACAAGACCCCTAGACGTAAGCCTTTAGGATGAACGACTTCTTGACGTAAGACCCCTGGAAGTAAGACCCTGGATAAAAGACTTCTGGATGTAAAACAACTAGTCGCAATACCCCTTAAAGTAAGACTCCTGAATGTAAGACCCCTGCACGTAATACCACTCAATATAAGACCGCAAGACGTAAGACCCTTCGATGTAAGACCCCTAGGTGTGAGAGCCCTGGATACAAAACCCTTCACGTAACATCTCTAGATGTAAGACCCCTGCATGTTAAACGCCTGAATGCAAGACCTCTCGACGTAACACCCCGAAATGTAAGACCCTAGACTGTAAAACCTCCGCGCGTAAGACCCCTGAATGTAGCTTGCCTGGACGTAAGTCCCCTGGATGTAAGATCCTTGGAAATAAGAGCCCCGAACGTATGACACCAAGATGTAAGGCCCTGGACGTAAGATCCCTGGATGTAAGACCACTTGACGTAAGATCCCAGGATGTAAGACCCTTGAAGGTAACCCTACTGGACGTAAGAGTCCTTGATGTAAAACCAATGGACGTAAGACCCTGGATGTAAGACCGCTGAATGGAAAGACCACTGGACGTAAGACCCCTGGATGTAAGGACCCTGGAGGTAAGACTTCTGGGTGTAAGACCCCGGGGTGAAAGACCCCTGGATAAAAGAAGCCTTGATGTAACATTCCCAGATGCAAGACCCCTCGACAAAATTCGCTTGAATATGAGATCACTCAATATAAGACGCCAGAACGTAAGAACCTTCCATGTAAGACCCCTGGAACTAACAAGTCTGGATGTAAGACCCCTGGCCGGTAAGACCTCTGCGCTGGAATTAAGACCCTTGGTTGTAAGACCCCTAGATGTAATACCCTTGGACGAAAGGCCAATGATAGTAGCCTTGGATGTAACACCTCTGGACGTAAGACTTCTGGAAGTAAGACTCCTGGAAATAAAACCACCAGAAGTAAGACCCCTAGACATAAGAATCCGGGACGACAGGGACAACAAGGACAAGTAGCTCCATCGGGACAAAAGGGACAACTAGGACAACCGGGACAACCGAGACAATTGGGATGACCAGGATAACCAGGCAACCACGAAAACTGCAAAAACCGGGACAACCAGGACAACAAGGACAACAGGGACAACCGAAACAAATAAGACAAGCAGGACAGGTGGGACAACCGGGACGACGACGGAGACAACCGGCACAACTGAAAACCTGGGACAACAGTGACAACAGGGCAACAGTTACAACAGTGACAACAGGGACAACAGTGAGAACAGTGACAAAAGGGAAAGAAGTGACAATAGGGAAAACTGAGTGACAACAGGGAGAAGAAGGACAACAGGACAGTGACTGACAACAGTGACAACAGGGACAGCAGCGACAACAGTGACAAAAGGGACAACAGGTAAGACAAGGATAACAGAGACAAGAGGGGCAGCAGTGATAATAGGGACAACAAAGACAACAGGGACAACAGAGGCAACAAGGACAACAGGGACAACCACACAGGGAGAAAAAGAACAACAGAGACAGCAATTAAATGGATAACAAGAACAACAAGGATAACAGGGACAATAGGGATAAAGTGGACAACAACAAACACAACAGGGACAACTGAGACAACAGAGACAACTTTGCAACCACGACAATGGAGTCAAATGAGACAACCGGGATGGCCGGGTCAATCGAGATAATTCCTGGACTACCTTGACGATCAGGACAACCGGTACAATCGGCATAATCAGGAGGAACCGTAAAACCAAAACAACGGAGACAACTAAGACGACCGGGACGACCTGCACAACTGGGAGAACGAGGACAAAAGGGAACAGCATGATAACCGGGTCGATAGTGCCGACCTAGACAACCAGGACAACTGCAACAACTGGGACAACTTGGACAATCGGGACAACCGAAACTACATGAAGAACCGAGACAGTCTGCTTCAACCAAGAAGATTGGGACAACCGGGTACACTGAGACAACCGAGACACCCAGGACAACTTGGACACTGGGACGACTGGGACGACTGCGACAACTAGGACAATCAGGGCAGCTGAGACAACTGAGACAGCCAGGACAACTAAGACAACCTGGGCCCAGTTGTTCGAAGTCCGATTAGCGCTTAACCCAGTGTTAAATTCAACCCGAGTGTCTTTTTCTTTTGTTCAAATCATTTTCTCGGATAATTTTCTCTAGTATTCTCAAGAGCATCTAGTCATCAACTTGTTGACAAAAAAAAGTAAACTGAATTTACTTTTAACCTTTCATATCTAAATTCAAATTGCGCACTAACCCTGGGTTATCTTATCCCAGTTTGGAACAACCCGGCCAGGACGTAAGACGCCTGGAGGTAATAGCCCTTGATCTAAGACCCTTGAACTTAAGACCCCTGGATGTAAGATCCCTGGACATAAGACACTTAAACTTAAGACGTTTGGATGTAAGATCACTGGAAGTAAAACCCCTGGACGTAAGACTCCGTAATGTGAGACCACTAGACTTATGAGCCCTTGATGCAAGACCCTTTAACGCGTGACCCTTGGACGTAAGACCCGTGGATGTAAGACCCTTAGAATTTAAGCCCCCTGGATGTGAGACCACTGGAGGTAAGAGCTCTGGATGTAGGAGCCCTGGATTTAAGATCCCTGGACGCAAGATTCCTCGTCATGACACCCCTAGATGTACGACCCACAGACGTAAGACGCCTGGATTAAGGTCCACTGGACGTAAGAACCCTAGATACAAGACCCCTGGACGAAAACCCCTGGAGGTAAGACCCCTGGACGCAAGACCCATGCACGTTAGGAGCCTATCACCTGTCCAAGTAAGTACCCTGGACGTAAGGCCCCATCGATGCAAGACTCTTAGACGCAAGACCCTGGACGTAAGACGCCTGGATGTAAGACGCCAGCTGGATGTAAGACCCTTAGATGTAAAGCCCCTGGATGGAAGACCTCTAGATTTAAGACCCCTTGACGTAAGACCCCTGGCTTTAAGACCTCTGGATGTAAGATTACTGGACGTAAGAGCCGCGGATGTAAGTTCCATGGACGTAAGACCCCTCGATACAAAACCCCTGAACGTAAGACCCCTGGATGTAAGCGCCCTGAACGCAGACCTTGGACGTAAGACTCGTGGACGTAAGACTCCTGGATGTAAGCGCCCTGAACGCAGACCCTGGACGTAAGACTCCTAGATGTAAGACTCCTGGACGTAAGGTTGAATGTTTTCCTGATTAAGGGGAAAAGAATGATCATATCTGGGCAGAATTCGGTCATTTTGCTTGTCTAGTTGTCTGAGAATGTTTTCATATGATCGCGATTTTCTCACGATTGCCTAGATTTTGCGTCAGCCACATGTAATTACTTCGAGTTTTGATTGGTTCAATGTATTGTCTGTGTCCTATGTGATTGGCCAGAGTAATTACTTTGGTTTTGGTTTTACGACACTCAAACAAAAACCACTCTAAACGCCTGAATGCAAGACCCCTCGACGTAACAACCCAAAATGTAAGACCCTAGACCGTAAAACCCCTGCGCGTAAGACCCCTGAATGTAGCTTGCCTGGACGTAAGTCCCCTGGATGTAAGATCCTTGGACATAAGAGCCCCGGACGTATGACACCAAGATGTAAGACCCTGGACGTAAGACCCCTGGATGTAAGACCACTTGACGTAAGATCCCAGGATGTAAGACCCTTGAAAGTAACCCTCCTGGACGTAAGAGTCCTTGATGTAAAACCAATGGACGTAAGACCCCTGGATGTAAGACCGCTGGATGGAAAGACCCTAGAAGTAAGACCCCTGGATGTTAGGACCCTGGAGGTAAGACTTCTGGGTGTAAGACCCGGGGTGAAAGACCCCTGGATAAAAGAAGCCTTGATGTAACATTCCCAGATGTAGGACCCTCGAAAAAATTCGCCTGGATATGAGATCACTCAATATAAGACGCCAGAACGTAAGAACCTTCTATGTAAGACCCCTGGGTGTAAGACCTCTGCACTGTAATTAAGACCCTTGGTTGTAAGACCCCTAGATATAATACCCCTGGACGTAGGGCGAATGTAGTAGCTCTGGATGTAACACGCCTGGACGTAAGACTTCTGGAAGTTAAGGACTCCTGGACGTAAGACCCCTGGAAATAAGACCACCAGAAGTAAGACCCCTAGACATGAGACCCCCGGGACGACAGGGACAACCAGGACAAGTAGCTCAACCGGTGCAAAAGGAGCAACCAGGACAACTGTGACAACCGGGACAACTGGGACAAACGGGACAACCGAGACAATCGGGACAACTGTGACAAACGGGACAACCGTGACAACCGGGACAACCGGGACAACTGTGACAACCGGGACAACTGGGACAAACGGGACAACCGTGACAACCGGGACAACTGTGACAACCGGGACAACTGGGACAAACGGGACAACCGAGACAATCAAGACAACCAGAACAACAGTGACACCAGGGACAGCAGCAACAACAGTGACAAAAGGGACAACAGGGACAACAAGGATAACAGAGACAACAGGCACAACATGGACAACATGGACAACATGGACAACAAGCACAACAGCGACAACAAGGACAACATGGACAACCACACAGGGAGAAAAAGAACAACAGAGACAGCAATCAAATGGATAACAAGAACAACAAGGATAAGAGGGACAACAGGGATAAAAGGGACCACAACAAACACAACAGGGACAACTGAGACAACAGAGACAACCGGGACAACCGAGACAACTGAGACAACCGGGACAACCGAGACAACTTTGCGACCACGACAATGGAGTCAAATGAGACAACCGGGATGGCCGGGTCAACCGAGATAATTCCTGGACTACCTTGACGATCAGGACAACCAGTACAATCGACATAATCAGGAGGAACCGTAAAACCAAAACAACGGAGACAACCAAGACAACCGGGGCGACCTGGAGAACCGGGACAACCTGCACAACTGGGAGAACGAGGACAAAAGGGAACAGCATGATAACCGGGTCGACAGTGCCGACCTAGACAACCAGGACAACAGGGACAACTGGGACAACTTGGACAATCGGGACAACCGAAACTACATGAAGAACCGAGACAGTCTGCTTCAACCAAGAAGATTGGGACAACCGGGTACACTGAGACAACCGAGACACCCAGGACAACTTGGACACTGGGACGACTGGGACGACTGCGACAACTAGGACAATCAGGGCAGCTGAGACAACTGAGACAGCCAGGACAACTAAGACAACCTGGGCCCAGTTGTTCGAAGTCCGATTAGCGCTTAACCCAGTGTTAAATTCAACCCGAGTGTCTTTTTCTTTTGTTCAAATCATTTTCTCGGATAATTTTCTCTAGTATTCTCAAGAGCATCTAGTCATCAACTTGTTGACAAAAAAAAGTAAACTGAATTTACTTTTAACCTTTCATATCTAAATTCAAATTGCGCACTAACCCTGGGTTATCTTATCCCAGTTTGGAACAACCCGGCCAGGACGTAAGACGCCTGGAGGTAATAGCCCTTGATCTAAGACCCTTGAACTTAAGACCCCTGGATGTAAGATCCCTGGACATAAGACACTTAAACTTAAGACGTTTGGATGTAAGATCACTGGAAGTAAAACCCCTGGACGTAAGACTCCGTAATGTGAGACCACTAGACTTATGAGCCCTTGATGCAAGACCCTTTAACGCGTGACCCTTGGACGTAAGACCCGTGGATGTAAGACCCTTAGAATTTAAGCCCCCTGGATGTGAGACCACTGGAGGTAAGAGCTCTGGATGTAGGAGCCCTGGATTTAAGATCCCTGGACGCAAGATTCCTCGTCATGACACCCCTAGATGTACGACCCACAGACGTAAGACGCCTGGATTAAGGTCCACTGGACGTAAGAACCCTAGATACAAGACCCCTGGACGAAAACCCCTGGAGGTAAGACCCCTGGACGCAAGACCCATGCACGTTAGGAGCCTATCACCTGTCCAAGTAAGTACCCTGGACGTAAGGCCCCATCGATGCAAGACTCTTAGACGCAAGACCCTGGACGTAAGACGCCTGGATGTAAGACGCCAGCTGGATGTAAGACCCTTAGATGTAAAGCCCCTGGATGGAAGACCTCTAGATTTAAGACCCCTTGACGTAAGACCCCTGGCTTTAAGACCTCTGGATGTAAGATTACTGGACGTAAGAGCCGCGGATGTAAGTTCCATGGACGTAAGACCCCTCGATACAAAACCCCTGAACGTAAGACCCCTGGATGTAAGCGCCCTGAACGCAGACCTTGGACGTAAGACTCGTGGACGTAAGACTCCTGGATGTAAGCGCCCTGAACGCAGACCCTGGACGTAAGACTCCTAGATGTAAGACTCCTGAACGTAAGGTTGAATGTTTTCCTGATTAAGGGGAAAAGAATGATCATATCTGGGCAGAATTCGGTCATTTTGCTTGTCTAGTTGTCTGAGAATGTTTTCATATGATCGCGATTTTCTCACGATTGCCTAGATTGAAGTTCAATGCGTACATCTAAACTATTAATTAAGGTAGCTGCAATCGTCCAGGGTTTTCTTTGATTGCCTGGGTGTTTTTATATGATTGTCTCAATGGTCTAAGCAGTATTTGACACGACTAGCCACATGGGGCGATCCGGGCGATCCGGACGATCCTAATTATGTAAAGTCCTAGGGGTTTTTCCCTGCGGTGAGTGCTTTTAATAAAACGTTCTAAATCCCGCTTTGAGAAACTCAAAATCTCAACTTGTCAAAAATGGCTTCGAAATGGCTCTAGAAGTGAACAGACAGTTTAACCCATTCGCCCCTGAACCGCCCGTAACCGCCCGTGCGGATCCAGGTCCTTTCTACCCTTTGTGACGTCATCAGTTTTAACAGTCAAGGACAACTTTCTTCGCTAACTTGTGCAGAGTGAAGAGATCTTTCAAACCATATACCAGAATGAGCACAATTCAGTCAAGGACACCGGAGAAAGAAGCAAAAAACCACGTGACATTGACCTGAAAATCTGCATGAAAATCTTGTTCCATTGCCCACCTACCTTTCCTTTCACCTAATCCTAAGATCCTAAAAGCTTTCCTAAAAACTCTTCCCACCAAAATGAAGCCTACTAAATGCCCAGCAAGAGAAAAAAAAAATGAGGCAAGAAAAGCGAAAAAAGAAGGGAGCAGAGAAAGCGAAATTTTGCTTTCTGCGCATGCCCGAACTTCGCAAGCTGATATTTTGCATCTGGATCAGAAGGCCGCGAAGTGTACGACCGGTGAACCGGTTTGTGGTAAGTTTTAGCACGACAGTGACCAGAAAACCACTCGACTAGCTTCAAAACGCGTTTTTCGGCAAAATCTCCAGGAGCGAATGGGTTAAGCAAAGTACCAAGCTTTTTGAAAAAAATCCACTTTTCAGCATAAAACAACCAAATCTGTCTATTTCATGTAAAATCAGGTGAAAAAGTTGGTAAAAGGCCATTTTTAGCTTTTTTGATTAAGAGCTTACATACCCGAACAGTCTGGGTGGCCTGTGCGGTGTAGAGCAAAGGTAAACTTCTAGTTCCCAATCCTTTCACTAACATCAATAATGTCATGGCCGCTGCGAGGACGAAATGGCAATTTGTTCCTCCTAATTGCGTCGATTGTCTGTATTTTGATCACAATTGTAAACTACAATGTGTTACGAGAGTTGCCTTCCGATTCAACGTCCTGGACCAGGTCCAGTGTGCAAGGTAAGTGAATTTTTGCCGCATGATTTCACGGTTCACTTCTTCTGTCGTTTTTTTGGTAAATACAGCATTTGTTTTGAATGGTGCAGAGTAACTCCGGTTTAGCACTAGTTTGTCCTTGCGACTGGGATAACTTGAGAACTATCCCTTTCATTTGTAATAAGCCCACAGAAAATCGTTTTTTCTCCGTAGGCTATTAATCCCAGAATCATTGACTGAAACTTATATTGGAAAAATAACTTCTTGAATTGCATATTTAGAAACGGATGTACAGCAAATTTTTGCCCTCAGCGTCTATGATCAACATTCTTTCGCAACAATTTACTATAAGCTATACCGTTAATCGTAAATTTATAACTCTTAAGCTGATTTCTTGATGCATAGAACTAATGCCATACTGTTGGTGTCCTTTGATGACTTCCACGTGAAGGGCAAGTTTGTAATTTTTATTCTGATAATCCATTTGTATTTTGGGCTCGTGCAGTGACTGAATATCAAACGAAATTTATTTTACCCCACCTAGCCTTTTTATCTCTCTATTCCTTAATTTCTCGCTTTCGCGACCTAAAATGCTCGAGAAAGTCGTCCACGTGTAGTGATTGAATTAAATCTCACTTTGACACAAATGCAATGCTAAGCAATGAAAAAGCCAAAGAAAGAATGTTCTGATCTTTAGGTTTCGGGAAGGAGGCTCTACTCTTGTTTTCGTGTTTTTTTCTTTTATTCCTCTTTACCACAAGTATTCATACAGATGGACAAAATTATCTCTTTACCAAGCCTCGTTGTGAACACTTGCCACTGTCGGTGGATGGATATTCTTTTCAATTATGTAATTACTGCCGTTGAAATTTATTTATATAAAAGTTTGCAAATTAACAACTTCAAAACAAAGCTTAGTGGTGTAATTTGCTCATCTGATGTAAATGCATAAAGCTACTCAGGATTATTTGTCGTAAATTTTATCATAGGTGTTTTTTTTAATTCCCATGTAAACATATAAGCTTAAAATAATCTAGGTTATCTTGTGTCAACGATCCGACTTGGCAGTTTAACTACTATTTAGTTTCGTACGGCGGGTATGTGGGGCACTCCTCAGATAAAATCTGAGGAGTGCCCCACGTACCTGTGGTATGAAACTAAGTAGTAATAAAAATGCCAAGTGGGATCATTGACACCGGATAACCTACAATTATTGTAGATTATACTCTGCTCTATTACTTCTATTGAGCACTCTGCAGATAGGCGTGCATACAAAAACGTATCAACTGGTATAAGCTTAAAAATACATTTGTATCTTGTTTAAGTTACTCATTCTTGAGGTAAGGTGTTGTGTTACTTAACTCAGATATTTTTTTTTAATGTGTGGATAAACAACAAAACAATGCAACCGATTTTTACTTTAATTTTCTTTTATTTTCTGCAGTATTGTTTGAAAAAGTTAATCATACAATATTTTCACCAAACTTAAGCTTTAGATAATAAATGAAAAGAGAAATTAACATTTGACAGTCACTTAAAACTGAAACTTACTAGCAACTGGCAGCTTGAAACTTGAGTTTTTTTAAGTTGTATTGTTGGTTAGACAGTAGAGCACATTCTTAACTTTCACTTGGTCTGTGCCTTATCCTCTGGCTTTGGTATTTCATGGTGCAAAACAATTTGCACTTTGTCAATCAATCAATCAATCAATCAATCTATCTATCGATAGTTGATCAATCAATCAATCAATCAATTAACAAAACATGTAGCATTTCATGGAAAGAAAGAGCAGTTCTATCAGCTCTTTATTCTTGGTATTCCAAATTATTAATTTGAATTAAATGCAATTAAAGGGTTCCCTGAAAAAAGGGCGTAATTTGCTTATCATAAGCAAATATGGGAAACCCTTCAATTATTCTTCACTGATTAAGATTTCATAACACTTTAAGCCCAATATAAACATACCAATTCTCTAGACTGATCTCTATACATTTCCCTAAAGATTTAGTTGAAAGAATTTATTAAAAGATCAGCATTTCCCCATTGGTGATCATCTTATATATTCCCATAACCTTTTCTCTTAATGTTGTATGGATATTATTGGGAGAAAACTGATCTTGCATGGTCACTCAGGTACTGTTTTGTACTGATTCTACAACAGGTGACTGGGAAAACAAGGACTTTGAACAGCGGTTAAATCGTCTTGAGAAACATATCTTCGGAAAAGGTAACATAATGAGTTGAACCTCCATTAAGCAACCAGTCCCTCGGAGTACCCGCAAGTGACCACTTAACTCTTCAAGTCCCAATATCCACATACAAATTCTCCAAACTGGTCTCTATACATTTCCTTTAAGAATTAGTTGAGAGAATTTGCTGAAAGATCAAAGCATTTTCTCTTTGGTGATCATTTTATTAATTCTCATAACCTTTTCCTTTGCCAATGCATTGATATCGTTAGGAGAAAATTGATGTTGATCACTGTTGGGACTTAAAGGGTTAATGGAGGTCAGTCGCTCAATAGAGGTGCATCATAAATCAGCATAATCTATAGCAGAAACATCACTGTCTTTATTTTGGAAGAAAAGTGCGATGAAGGAGCATCACTGGTCAAAAATTTGTTGTCACCCTCTTATATATTGGACTGTATTTTCCTTCGTCATATTCTTGAAGTGAAGCCAAACTTTGTGAAGATCAGTGAATTAAGCATTTGATGGCTGCTTAATATAAAGGTGACAATTAATGGTGGTACAAAAAAGGGGCCGCAGTCGCTTAATAGATGTGGCCGCTTAAAGATTATTTTGGAACTTTGATTACTGGACGCTCGATCAATCAAGGGTGGCTATTTGATGGAGATTTGACTTTATTTTATTTTTTTGTGTGTGACTTGTTTCTGTAAATACTATCTTGTAGCACAGTGCTTATAAGGGATCTGGAAGCCATCTATGTTCTCATTATGTTCTCAAGTGATGCATGTATTCAATATAATGTAGTTCAATGCACGTAAGACATTTTTTCTTTGTTTTTTGTACAATTGTTTAGATTACAGTCCTAGTCAAGAAAATGGAGGTGTCAATCAACGATTAGAAAAGTTGGAACAACTTATAAATACAGGTACAAATATTGCATGATTAAGGCCCTCTTAACTATAAGGGAGTTACATACTTTTTGTCCCTGGTCTGAATTTCAAAGCCAGCTGTCTTCTTCACATTATTATTTCAGAGGAAGCTATGTCACTCTCGGTATTTCACTATTGCATTACAATTAATAGTGGTTTTCTGTGTTGGTGTCATGGGTTCAGCCCATCTTTGTGTTGTTTGTTGCCATTTCTGCTGTCCCATGACTCGCTGTTTCAAGGCCATGTCGCTTGCCAGAATTTTACCCGAACAGGGCCCCATGATTACATGTATCATCAATAACAAGTGGAATATGTTAACTTGCAGTTGTACATCAATTCAATGTCCAGTTTTGAGCATTGCATTATATGTGTTTTTTTTTTTTATAGAGATTGCATGTTTTAATTTATTTAGGTACCCTCTTTATTTCTAAAATTTATGAAGCTTAAGATATAAACTTCAAGTAGGGATTTGTTAACTTGCTATTTGATTTAACTATTTTCAGTAAACTTGCAACAATCTTGTTCGCATTTAATTTTTCATCTCACAGTTCTAATAGATGTTATTCAAACAAACCAAATAAATGACTGGTTTCCAGTTGGTTTTACAATTGGTAGAGCAATGCATGTACAAGTATACAGGGTCAAAGATTTGAATACTGTACAAGCTTAAGTACAGTTTTCAGGCTTCCTTTTGAAAAAAAAAAACTACTTAAAACTGCAATGATCTTGTTTTTTATGATACAAGCAGAGGAGATTGAGCTAAATTACTTGCAATAAGCAATCTTTCTGTCAATGCCCAACATTTTACACATAGTAATAATCTGGTGGATAATTGAATTTGTCAGTGGTGTATTTCCTTGATCTTAATTTTGGATCTTTGATTGTAAATATTTTACTTCCATTGTGGTGACCAGAAAATGGAAAGAAACAGGAATGTGAGATTCCGCATGACTCGCTGTTCCCATTTTGTGAGGACAAAGTTTCCGTAAGTCTACTTGTACACTTTTCAGTTTTACTTTTCAAGGAGGATCTAGTCGGGGGACGGGGAGGGGGAGAGGGAGGCGTCGGGGAAGAGTCTTTTGTATCTTGTTTAAGTTACTCATTCTTGAGGTAAGGTGTTGTGTTACTTAACTCAGATATTTTTTTTTAATGTGTGGATAAACAACAAAACAATGCAACCGATTTTTACTTTAATTTTCTTTTATTTTCTGCAGTATTGTTTGAAAAAGTTAATCATACAATATTTTCACCAAACTTAAGCTTTAGATAATAAATGAAAAGAGAAATTAACATTTGACAGTCACTTAAAACTGAAACTTACTAGCAACTGGCAGCTTGAAACTTGAGTTTTTTTAAGTTGTATTGTTGGTTAGACAGTAGAGCACATTCTTAACTTTCACTTGGTCTGTGCCTTATCCTCTGGCTTTGGTATTTCATGGTGCAAAACAATTTGCACTTTGTCAATCAATCAATCAATCAATCAATCTATCTATCGATAGTTGATCAATCAATCAATCAATCAATTAACAAAACATGTAGCATTTCATGGAAAGAAAGAGCAGTTCTATCAGCTCTTTATTCTTGGTATTCCAAATTATTAATTTGAATTAAATGCAATTAAAGGGTTCCCTGAAAAAAGGGCGTAATTTGCTTATCATAAGCAAATATGGGAAACCCTTCAATTATTCTTCACTGATTAAGATTTCATAACACTTTAAGCCCAATATAAACATACCAATTCTCTAGACTGATCTCTATACATTTCCCTAAAGATTTAGTTGAAAGAATTTATTAAAAGATCAGCATTTCCCCATTGGTGATCATCTTATATATTCCCATAACCTTTTCTCTTAATGTTGTATGGATATTATTGGGAGAAAACTGATCTTGCATGGTCACTCAGGTACTGTTTTGTACTGATTCTACAACAGGTGACTGGGAAAACAAGGACTTTGAACAGCGGTTAAATCGTCTTGAGAAACATATCTTCGGAAAAGGTAACATAATGAGTTGAACCTCCATTAAGCAACCAGTCCCTCGGAGTACCCGCAAGTGACCACTTAACTCTTCAAGTCCCAATATCCACATACAAATTCTCCAAACTGGTCTCTATACATTTCCTTTAAGAATTAGTTGAGAGAATTTGCTGAAAGATCAAAGCATTTTCTCTTTGGTGATCATTTTATTAATTCTCATAACCTTTTCCTTTGCCAATGCATTGATATCGTTAGGAGAAAATTGATGTTGATCACTGTTGGGACTTAAAGGGTTAATGGAGGTCAGTCGCTCAATAGAGGTGCATCATAAATCAGCATAATCTATAGCAGAAACATCACTGTCTTTATTTTGGAAGAAAAGTGCGATGAAGGAGCATCACTGGTCAAAAATTTGTTGTCACCCTCTTATATATTGGACTGTATTTTCCTTCGTCATATTCTTGAAGTGAAGCCAAACTTTGTGAAGATCAGTGAATTAAGCATTTGATGGCTGCTTAATATAAAGGTGACAATTAATGGTGGTACAAAAAAGGGGCCGCAGTCGCTTAATAGATGTGGCCGCTTAAAGATTATTTTGGAACTTTGATTACTGGACGCTCGATCAATCAAGGGTGGCTATTTGATGGAGATTTGACTTTATTTTATTTTTTTGTGTGTGACTTGTTTCTGTAAATACTATCTTGTAGCACAGTGCTTATAAGGGATCTGGAAGCCATCTATGTTCTCATTATGTTCTCAAGTGATGCATGTATTCAATATAATGTAGTTCAATGCACGTAAGACATTTTTTCTTTGTTTTTTGTACAATTGTTTAGATTACAGTCCTAGTCAAGAAAATGGAGGTGTCAATCAACGATTAGAAAAGTTGGAACAACTTATAAATACAGGTACAAATATTGCATGATTAAGGCCCTCTTAACTATAAGGGAGTTACATACTTTTTGTCCCTGGTCTGAATTTCAAAGCCAGCTGTCTTCTTCACATTATTATTTCAGAGGAAGCTATGTCACTCTCGGTATTTCACTATTGCATTACAATTAATAGTGGTTTTCTGTGTTGGTGTCATGGGTTCAGCCCATCTTTGTGTTGTTTGTTGCCATTTCTGCTGTCCCATGACTCGCTGTTTCAAGGCCATGTCGCTTGCCAGAATTTTACCCGAACAGGGCCCCATGATTACATGTATCATCAATAACAAGTGGAATATGTTAACTTGCAGTTGTACATCAATTCAATGTCCAGTTTTGAGCATTGCATTATATGTGTTTTTTTTTTTTATAGAGATTGCATGTTTTAATTTATTTAGGTACCCTCTTTATTTCTAAAATTTATGAAGCTTAAGATATAAACTTCAAGTAGGGATTTGTTAACTTGCTATTTGATTTAACTATTTTCAGTAAACTTGCAACAATCTTGTTCGCATTTAATTTTTCATCTCACAGTTCTAATAGATGTTATTCAAACAAACCAAATAAATGACTGGTTTCCAGTTGGTTTTACAATTGGTAGAGCAATGCATGTACAAGTATACAGGGTCAAAGATTTGAATACTGTACAAGCTTAAGTACAGTTTTCAGGCTTCCTTTTGAAAAAAAAAAACTACTTAAAACTGCAATGATCTTGTTTTTTATGATACAAGCAGAGGAGATTGAGCTAAATTACTTGCAATAAGCAATCTTTCTGTCAATGCCCAACATTTTACACATAGTAATAATCTGGTGGATAATTGAATTTGTCAGTGGTGTATTTCCTTGATCTTAATTTTGGATCTTTGATTGTAAATATTTTACTTCCATTGTGGTGACCAGAAAATGGAAAGAAACAGGAATGTGAGATTCCACATGACTCGCTGTTCCCATTTTGTGAGGACAAAGTTTCCGTAAGTCTACTTGTACACTTTTCAGTTTTACTTTTCAAGGAGGATCTAGTCGGGGGACGGGGAGGGGGAGAGGGAGGCGTCGGGGAAGAGTCCTTGGGTAACAAATACATCTGTCTCCATAATTAATTCAGATACTCTCTCTATCTTAGAATAGAGATATAAACTTCGTATCTATGGACTATCCCCACCCCAATCAAAAAACCATGGTTCAAGGAGATCTCGTGGCCAGGGGCCAATTTTTGTGTGGCCCCTATACATGTACAGTGTGTTTGACCCTATCACACATGGCTAGTGCTGTGTTCATTGCAATAGAAAATGAATGTGGCACATCTTTGGCTGGGGGTCTTACATAATATGGCAATTGCAAAAGAAATTGCAAATTTTGTAATCAGCAATTTTTTATTTGTTTTTGCAACCCTTTTAACATCTGAGACATGCAAAATTTCTAGTAGGGGCAGAAACGTCAATTAAAGGAACTGTAATAAAATATTTGTCATGTTTGCTAAATAAGATTATAATTTATGAAGACTGAGGGATAGCTGTCAAGGAACAAAGGATTTTGTTCGGCTTGAAAAAAATTTGAGGCCTGCATCTTTGAATTTGGGTGGCGTCAGTTGAGAAAATTTTGGTAGGTTAAAAAAAGTCGTTCGCACTAGAAATGGCTTCCTGTTGACAGATTTTTTTACAAAACAAACAAAATTATGCACAGTGTGAACAGGGCCTAAGATGGAGTAAACAGGGCTTAACATGGGGTTTATTCAGGCATGAATGGGTTGATGCTTTTAAGTATTAAAATGACGAAAAGTTCACAACATACTTACAGTTTTTATGAGAGGTGTTAATGTCGCTCATCCATTAGTTATATTTGCCATGAGTAGTTGTTCTTGCATGAATTTTTTTGTTGTGCACTTTGAGTCCTGCCTTGTAAATGATAAGGTAAATAAGAAAAACAAAATATATTTGATATTTTTGGTTTGTTTTCTTTTTTAGTGGATGAGAAATTTATGGCAAACAAATTCAGCGTGCTACATTGGACAGCATCACGTGAAGCCAGAGAACTTATGTTCAATACTTGTTTATCTTAGTGAGGTACATGGTACTGCTGATGATCAACATACTTTGCTGTTGATCAAGAAATATAAACATTGGCACTTGAAGTACAGTGGAACCTTGATATATCAAAGTGCCAATGGAGTGGCAAAATTTGTTTGCTATACCGAGGCTTGGTTATATCAAGATACTTTTCGATATATTTTACTATTACTGGGGGTAAAGAAAATCATTCTTTATGCCGAGGACTTGGTTATATAGAGGTTCGTTATATCAAGGCTCCACTGTACATGACTGTAACTGTTCTGGGAAGAGTTCATACTTATAGTAACCTCGACATTTTCATTATCAGGAGTGTCAAGTCAATGATTATTCTCATTCTTTTCGAGAGTCTAAAATACAGCATGCCTGCCTAAAACATACTTTTCGTGGAATTTGTGTTCAAGTTCTCTACATGTTTATGTATGTCTTAATAAGTTTCTGAACGGTGTCACATCAATCTAAAGAGGTTTTTGTCTGGAAATTTAATTCCCAGAGGTGAAGTTGTCACCCAAAAAACTTGAAGTCTTGTAATAATATTGATAATCATGCATAGGTTGAAAGATTTTGCCCAGTATTACCATGGCGACAGTCGAATGCAAGCACAGACACAAGAGAACGAAAGGTTTGAATGATAGTTAATAGAGATGTTCAGTTAACACTAATTTCGTCTCTTGGTAATACAATCTATGGATCTTTTTCTAGCAATTTCATTGCCAACAAACCAAACTTGTTTTGAAATCATATTATGGGATTGTTAAGATTTTTACTTTGACATTGTCATTCCAATGGGCAAAAAGTTGTATTACTCCGAAACGAGCAAATGAGAAAGAGATAGGAAAATTTTCTATCTGGATAACAACAATATTGTGATACAAATAGATGTCACTGGCTTTTGGTGAACTTTGTGGTAATTTTCGTTCCACTATTTGCGTACTTTAATACATTGTTAGCAAGTCACAGTTACGGAAAAAATTGGCATCTATGAAGTAAAGTTCTAAATGGAGAACTTTGGGACAGCTTATTTCATCCTTTTGTACAAATTTGTACACAGTAATGCAATCTGAAATTAATTACTACTGCAATTACTACTGAAATTACTCCTGCAATTTTTGAGTGAAGATATGATCGTCGCAGTGGTAGTTGCAATTTAAGTAACTGGAAAGTAACCCGCAAAAATTTCGGGAATGATACATAGGGCGAAAATGATTCCTTTCACGGGTAAGATGAATTCGACAAATTCTTTCAGTACTGCAAAAGGAAACTCCAAATATATTATTCCTTCCCCCCCCCCCCAAAAAAGAAAATTCCTCAAAATTGGTTTATTGGCATCCTACTGATTTAAGCCCCGTGCAAAAGGACGGAACATTGTTGACCAACAACTCCCAACATTGTTGTTTGTTTGCACACCCTGTTGCATGTGGTTGCTAGTTGTGAAGCAAAGTTTTAAACTGGTGAGTGGTCAAACTTTGAGCCAACAACTCCAAACATTTCTGTTGTTCCGTGATCACCGAAGCGTAGCGCAACAATTTTGGATCCGTTTGCACAGCTCTTCCAACAATGTTGGGGCCACACATGCGCATTACACATGGTTTCCAAAGTCTTATGGGTTGTATCCTTCCCACGATGCACTGCAGGTCCCAACATTGTTGGGAGTTGTTGCATCCGTTTGCACACCACTGCCAATACCGACGCGACAACTCCCAACATTGTTGGCCCAACATTGTTGTTTGCAGCAACAACAATTGCTGATGGTACTCTGTCTCCTTCTAAAGCCTGCAGAAATGAGATTTGAGCTGCAGAAGAGTTTTATTGATACGCTGACAAAGCTGAATCTGAGATGGATGAGAGATCGGATCACCAGAATGTGGCCTCAGTGGGCAGCGGCTGCGAAGCAATTTGCAGAAGAAGGAACTCTTCGCAAGCAACATCGAACCAAAAAGGTTGTGTTAATGTCCGACTGTTATGTCCAGCTCTTTTTGTTGTATCCATTTGTATGTTGGTTTTCAACTTAGTACATGGTACGTCATGACAAAGAATGATGTTCTTTTTTCCTATGTCGTTATTGTGAGTCAAAAAAAATCGCGGAGGTCGGATCAACGATATATTATTCTAAAAATCATTGCAACTTCACCGCGTGGTTTGTTTGTATCGAAACAACCTTAATAGCTGATGAGGTGATATTCGGTAAAGAAATATCAAAAAGTGTCAAATGTTTTTTAAAAAACACAAACGTTTCGGGTTTATGACCCTTCTTCAGTACGGGAAAAAACCGTTGTATAGTACTACGCAACAACCTCGCCTCAGTAAATTGAATCGACTTCTGTTCGTATCTAAATAACTCCTAACGAAACGACTTTGTATTGAAACGACCAGTAAATGTCCAGGCGATTCTCGTACTGTGCAGATACTGCGTGGGAGGGCAAGGGTGGCGCCTATGGCGTAGTAGTGAGAGCGCTCGCCTCCCACCAATGTGGCCCAGGTGCAAATCCCAGAGCTGGCGCCATATGTGGGTTACGTTTGTTGTTGGTTCTGTCCTTTGCTCCCATGCCAGAGGTTTTTGTCCGGGTACTTCGGTTTTCCCCTCTGCTTAAAAACCAGCATTTTCAATTTCTGATTGGCCAAGGAATGGTAGACGAAGAACCACTTTGTGGATGTGCTACCTCTAAATATTAAGTTATTTTACCATTTTTTTATTACAGTCGAACCTTTACTTACGGCCACCTCTCTACAACGGCCACCTCTCTGCAACGGCCACTTTTTTGGCGGAAAGTCCATACATTGACTCTTGTTTAAACCTCTCTACTGCGGCCACGTTCTTCTGTCCCCAAGGTCGCTGTTGTGAGACGATCAACTCTATTTATTTTTTATGCACTTTCCTATTGTTTTAAACAGGTTATTATTTTCAATAAATTGAAGAGCAGGTTACGGCCTTCATAGCTACAACAACCTCACACTGCGCGCTCGGTCATTATTTTTAAGAAGGTCTCGGACTTGAGGCATTATAAAAGTTTCACTTTGAGAAGCACTTACTGAATTCCGGTCCGTGTTTTCAATCTTCTTGTCAGATATTAATTTTCTTCGGAACGTATGCTTATCAACCCAACTGGCTTAACCTAGCGTACACTGGAGCACCCCTCGGAGAAATGGTTCAATGGAGTGACCTCCTAGCTTCCTTGTACATCTTGGGCCATGATTTAACTCTTGCTGTTAATTCCACCACCTATAAGGGGTAAGTAGTTGGATCAATTTAGGTGTCTGGGAAACTGCCCACCTACCCCTCCCCTAAGCGATCATTTTGCCCTAAGTGAGATGTAAGTGTTAATGTTACCTTAAGGGAGCGGTAGGTGGGCAGTGCATTCTTCTAGAGGGGTGACCGGTCGTTTCGCCTATGGAAACTGCCCACCTACCCCTCCCCTAAGCGATCATTTTGCCCTAAGTGAGATGTAAGTGTTAATGTTACCTTAAGGGAGCGGTAGGTGGGCAGTGCATTCTTCTAGAGGGGTGACCGGTCGTTTCGCCTATGAGTCGTTTCACTAACGTCCGGGTCGCTAACGTCTTATGTCGTCGTTCCGCTAAACGATTCTGCGCCTGTGTATACCTCGTTCTCTCAGCCATGAAACAAAAAAGTGTGATACTCATGTACACACTTCGTTCTTTCAGCCACTGATCAGGCGAAAGCAGTTAGGGAAATGACCCAACTGGTACGCGAAACGACTCAAGAAGTTAGCGAACAGAACGATGACGAAACGACTCGTAGGCGAAACGACCGTAAACCACCAGATGTAAGCTGAACGCTTTATAACCAAGAAACTCAGGACTTGTCCACACGTACCCGTTTCTGTTTAAAAACGGAGTTATTTTTCTCCGGTTTGGCTTACCGTCCACACGTATTCGGTGAAACAGTCAACAAAAACGCATCTTTCTCAAAAACGCAATCCAGAGTGAAGAGTTTTGAAAACACTGGCCACTCGATTACGTGTGGACGCACGAAAACGGAGGTTTTCGAACACCATGATGTAATACATCATTTACTACTAGCATAACGCATGCTCTGTAAGGTATGCTATCGTATTTCCATCGTTTAGCATTTTTGTATGGACGGGTGGAAATAGTTCGAATACGCTACGTGTGGACGCGTATTTTTTGAAAACGGAGGAAAAAAATATCGGTTTTCAAAAATCTCCGGATACGTGTGGACGAGGCCACAGTATCTCGCTTTTGATGTGTTGGAAGACGTTGTACATTGTATACTAGTTATAGTTGTCACTAAATCTGCCCCCGACCTTTTAAAACCGGAATGAAGACTCCTTGTGGTTGTCCATGTATTTGCCATGAACCTTTGAAATGCAGTTTTCGTATTAGAGTTTCTGAGTGTAATTCTTTTGTTCTCTTTTGCGTTTTCTCAATTATTACACTTTGTTTTCTGGGTTAATGAAAATCCTCATACATGACACGCCTAGGATGGACAATTGTTTTTTATACATCTCATAATGAGTTCAACCAACACTGCAAATGTAATAGAACGCGTGTTAAACAGCAAAACCATCTTTAATTATCTATTTGTAACTAAATTTCCTATAACTAATGTGTCGAACGGATGCTTTGGCTTCGAGTTTGACATTCTTGAACGCAACGTCGAACGCAACTGATATAAATGATTTCGCAATAAACTAACCCTACAAAAACATGGACCACTGTTTATTAAACCCTGAATACCTTAATATAACAAAACCCGGTTATTTCACGTTAGCACCTTTCTTGTCTTTGACTGGGTTTTGAGAAATTTGAGCTATTCCTGATGTGGTTTGAATCGAGTTTGTCGATCCACGTTGACAAAACCAGTTCAAAGTTCTGTCGATCCACGTTGCTGATTTGTGTCTGACAAATCAAGTTCTTAATACCAAACAATTGCAGTACTGCTGAATAACTTTTTAACTGTATAGAAATATGTATCTCGCAATAACCTTCGCGAAATCACATTTTATGTACCAACGCACGCGGAAATAAAGTTGTGATTTAATATCAGTTGAGAAAGGATGGCAACGCTGGGCCGTTGAGTGGCTGATATCCAAATTTTTTTTTTAACGCGGTAATGTAATGTGGAGTACACCAAGCATATCTGTTAATCTTTTCTTTTTCAATTCATTCCAGCCATCTTTCAGTCCCAAAAGTTCGTGGTTGCGCCAACACATTTACCCCCGAGTTTGACCTGATATACACAGACTATAATGGAATGGCTTTTATGACGATGGATGTTACTCCTAACATGTCGCCTTATTTGTAAGTACATTAAATGGCTTTGTCACTTGTTTGTCATTTCGCGCGAAACTGGGTCCGTCTTGTGTCGAACTGTACTGTGGGATTGTTTTGGGGATGCTATCATTTCTGGATCTTTCATTGGTTATTTCGAAGTTGCGGAAGAAACTGGGGTAGAGTTCGTCAACCTGCAATTCGATACAACTCTGATCCAGTCTCTTGATTTGATCAGGTTTTGACAATAGCGTAATATCGGCTGGTGCACGATATACAAAATGAATAGCAAGTCTCGAGTTATGTCACAAAGAACACGGCAGTGATCCCTAGCCCTTACACAGTAACATAATAAACTTCACACAATAGAAGACAAAATAGTGCATACATTGACTTGGTATATCGAACATCACCCGTAATATCAGTGTCAACTACATTTACCATCGGTAGGTTGAACTTTGTGCTAGCACATCATTTTTATGAAACAGCTTATAATTTTCACTATTCATTCAAACAATTTTGAAACTTACAACGTCCTTTTGCGTCCGAATTTCTTTAAAACATTTACGGTTCCTTCGCAGTTTCAGGATATATGAATGAATGTTTTAGTCTTGTAGCTGTTATTCAAAAATCATTTGACACTCTTCATGTGTCATATTTTGTGTATTCTTGCTTGGTTTTGAGTCAGGCTATTTCGCCTAGGCATGGCGTGTGAAAATTTCGCTGTTTTTTTTTATTGAGCCTTGCACCGAGCAGTATCGCCGTTCTGTGCGTGACGCCAATCGTTCAATAATTTTTCTATTATTCCACTAATGTAGTGAGTTTAGTCACATTAGAAGAAACAATGTATCTGCAACATTGCAGCTACCCAGTTTACATGTAGCTAGGTTCTTTAGCCAGGTGCTGCGGGGCTTCCTGGGTTGTAAGCCTTACTGTAGCGAGTTTGTGATGAACGTAATATTTTGTTTTTCTTCCGTTTAGATGTCGGATACGAATACTTGACTCGTTCGGCACTGAAGCAGAGTTTAATTACGGTGCTTACAGAGGATCAATACCTGGTGGAAGATCCGCTTGGGCTAACGCTGACCTTAATTTGCGACAAATATTTACCATGTTTCGTAAGTTTACCCTGACCATGTGTTTTGCACGGTTTACGGTCGTTTCGTCTGCGAGTCGTATCGTTTTGCCTACGCGTTAGGTAAAACAAAGACCAAATTTAAAATACTAAAAGTCTGGATTTAGGTTTGAGCTAACCTACCAAATTACTTTTTTTTTCTCAGCTCACAGCCCAGACAATTCATTTCTTGGTTTTGTTGTCAGTGATCCAATTCCAGCAGATGCGAAGCCGCTGAACAAGAAGGCGATTGGTCTCGTTTATGGAAAGGACGCTGATTTTTGGGCGGTAAGAGCTGAACTGTGTTGATAGGTCGCTGTTCGTTTTTCAGCTATTCAAGTCGGTCAGACAGTGTTTGGTCGTTCCTTCCATCTGTCTGTCTGTCTGTCTGTCTGTCTGTCTGTCTGTCTGTCTGTCTGTCTGTCTGTCTGTCTGTCTGTCAGTCTGTCTGTCAGTAAGTGAGCTAGTGGCCTGGTTTTGTCAGTCAATTCATTTGTCTTCATTCTTGTCAGTAAAGTCAGCCACTGAGTCTTGTTATTCACTCAATCAATGAATCAGCCATTCTTTTGGTCAGTTGACCTATCAGCTGATGATTTGTTAGTCAGTTCTTTAGACTATATCGAAACGGGTCTTTTAAGGTTGTAAACGTGTTCAAACTTAGCGTTTACCACGTTCTTAACGAAAATGATCTCTCTCTGTTTACAAACCTTACCCTGAACACATCACTTGTAAATGTGTTCTTTCATAACGCCAAACCGACTCGTGTTAACATCGTGCTACTTAGTCTTATCCGTTTCATGTATTTGTTTGTTTCAACTGTTCTTTATTTCGTTCTGTTACAGGGCAAGAGAGAATATCTTGATATCTTACATAAATATTTGGAGATTCATGGAACCTTTTTTGGAGTTTCGGTATGTTTTGCTCGGTTTTATCCTCACCAGCAAGTATAACTAACATTGAATTAATTTTATCAAGACATTTTGTGTTGAAGTTATGAATATATGAAAATCATATATGCGAACTGCGAGGTGAAGAATTATATAAAGTAGATCATCGCAGTTATGGACGCAACGTTTGCATTTGCAAAAAGAAGGCCTGTTATTACCAGCTGGCTCCTCCTTCAAACTCTAATTGACAGAATATTTGTGTAAATTTTCGTGAACAGGAGGAAGAAATAAAAAAGAATGTGCCGGACTACGTGATCACCCATGGTATTCTCAGTAAACCTGATCTAGAAAAACTGTTACAGGATACCAAGGTTTGTTTCTCATTGTTTTGCATTTGGAGTTGTTAACCATTTCACTCCCAAGAGTCGCTCAAGTCAAACTTAGAGGAAGATTCCAAAGTTCAGTGCGAGCTTTCCAGTTTTCTCTCGGAACAACAGTGTTTGTGGCGTATACAGTCCAGAATTAGGGTAAACAGAAAAATAGTGTTGCGGAAACTTTGTTTCTTCTAATGTGATGTAACCGCGAAACATTGGTTGATGAATCTGATCCAATATGGCGGATTATCCAAGATGGCGGTCCTTTTCAATCATTACGTAATTTTCACATTTTGTGACGTCATCTCATAAACAATTAAATCATTCAATATTTAGGCAGACTGTCTAGTGTGGCGCTTGTTCCATGATGTTGTAAATTAATTTTTGTATTTTGTTTTTGATTACAGGTATTTATAGGTCTTGGGTTCCCATATGAAGGTCCCGCACCTCTAGAGGCTATTGCCCAGGGATGTATCTTTCTGAACGCTAAGGTAATCCGATAAATCGCGCAGTTTTGTAGTAGAGTTAATACAAGTGTGCTTGTTACTAATTATCATTAAATTTTCCTTGCTTTTCAGTTTGATCCACCTCATAACAGGATTAATACTGAGTTCTTTAAGCTTAAACCAACCCTAAGAGAGGTAAGTTCGTCGCTTCAGGGCATACGAACTCTGGAAATTAACTTCTCAAACTCATTATTTATTCATGCAGTCAACAGCCAATAAATAACAACCGTTTGGGTCAGGTAGATGAATCTTGATACCTAATGGAACGCCAGATAAAACACCGCCAGGTTTTCATCTCACCCTCATTTTAATGAGATGAAGGTTAATGTTTTATTGGTGAACACTACTACCTGACAATTGATGTGGTTTGAATCGAGTTTGTCGATCCACGTTGACAAAACCAGTTCAAAGTTCTGTCGATCCACGTTGCTGATTTGTGTCTGACAAATCAAGTTCTTAATACCAAACAATTGCAGTACTGCTGAATAACTTTTTAACTGTATAGAAATATGTATCTCGCAATAACCTTCGCGAAATCACATTTTATGTACCAACGCACGCGGAAATAAAGTTGTGATTTAATATCAGTTGAGAAAGGATGGCAACGCTGGGCCGTTGAGTGGCTGATATCCAAATTTTTTTTTTAACGCGGTAATGTAATGTGGAGTACACCAAGCATATCTGTTAATCTTTTCTTTTTCAATTCATTCCAGCCATCTTTCAGTCCCAAAAGTTCGTGGTTGCGCCAACACATTTACCCCCGAGTTTGACCTGATATACACAGACTATAATGGAATGGCTTTTATGACGATGGATGTTACTCCTAACATGTCGCCTTATTTGTAAGTACATTAAATGGCTTTGTCACTTGTTTGTCATTTCGCGCGAAACTGGGTCCGTCTTGTGTCGAACTGTACTGTGGGATTGTTTTGGGGATGCTATCATTTCTGGATCTTTCATTGGTTATTTCGAAGTTGCGGAAGAAACTGGGGTAGAGTTCGTCAACCTGCAATTCGATACAACTCTGATCCAGTCTCTTGATTTGATCAGGTTTTGACAATAGCGTAATATCGGCTGGTGCACGATATACAAAATGAATAGCAAGTCTCGAGTTATGTCACAAAGAACACGGCAGTGATCCCTAGCCCTTACACAGTAACATAATAAACTTCACACAATAGAAGACAAAATAGTGCATACATTGACTTGGTATATCGAACATCACCCGTAATATCAGTGTCAACTACATTTACCATCGGTAGGTTGAACTTTGTGCTAGCACATCATTTTTATGAAACAGCTTATAATTTTCACTATTCATTCAAACAATTTTGAAACTTACAACGTCCTTTTGCGTCCGAATTTCTTTAAAACATTTACGGTTCCTTCGCAGTTTCAGGATATATGAATGAATGTTTTAGTCTTGTAGCTGTTATTCAAAAATCATTTGACACTCTTCATGTGTCATATTTTGTGTATTCTTGCTTGGTTTTGAGTCAGGCTATTTCGCCTAGGCATGGCGTGTGAAAATTTCGCTGTTTTTTTTTATTGAGCCTTGCACCGAGCAGTATCGCCGTTCTGTGCGTGACGCCAATCGTTCAATAATTTTTCTATTATTCCACTAATGTAGTGAGTTTAGTCACATTAGAAGAAACAATGTATCTGCAACATTGCAGCTACCCAGTTTACATGTAGCTAGGTTCTTTAGCCAGGTGCTGCGGGGCTTCCTGGGTTGTAAGCCTTACTGTAGCGAGTTTGTGATGAACGTAATATTTTGTTTTTCTTCCGTTTAGATGTCGGATACGAATACTTGACTCGTTCGGCACTGAAGCAGAGTTTAATTACGGTGCTTACAGAGGATCAATACCTGGTGGAAGATCCGCTTGGGCTAACGCTGACCTTAATTTGCGACAAATATTTACCATGTTTCGTAAGTTTACCCTGACCATGTGTTTTGCACGGTTTACGGTCGTTTCGTCTGCGAGTCGTATCGTTTTGCCTACGCGTTAGGTAAAACAAAGACCAAATTTAAAATACTAAAAGTCTGGATTTAGGTTTGAGCTAACCTACCAAATTACTTTTTTTTTCTCAGCTCACAGCCCAGACAATTCATTTCTTGGTTTTGTTGTCAGTGATCCAATTCCAGCAGATGCGAAGCCGCTGAACAAGAAGGCGATTGGTCTCGTTTATGGAAAGGACGCTGATTTTTGGGCGGTAAGAGCTGAACTGTGTTGATAGGTCGCTGTTCGTTTTTCAGCTATTCAAGTCGGTCAGACAGTGTTTGGTCGTTCCTTCCATCTGTCTGTCTGTCTGTCTGTCTGTCTGTCTGTCTGTCTGTCTGTCTGTCTGTCTGTCTGTCTGTCTGTCAGTCTGTCTGTCAGTAAGTGAGCTAGTGGCCTGGTTTTGTCAGTCAATTCATTTGTCTTCATTCTTGTCAGTAAAGTCAGCCACTGAGTCTTGTTATTCACTCAATCAATGAATCAGCCATTCTTTTGGTCAGTTGACCTATCAGCTGATGATTTGTTAGTCAGTTCTTTAGACTATATCGAAACGGGTCTTTTAAGGTTGTAAACGTGTTCAAACTTAGCGTTTACCACGTTCTTAACGAAAATGATCTCTCTCTGTTTACAAACCTTACCCTGAACACATCACTTGTAAATGTGTTCTTTCATAACGCCAAACCGACTCGTGTTAACATCGTGCTACTTAGTCTTATCCGTTTCATGTATTTGTTTGTTTCAACTGTTCTTTATTTCGTTCTGTTACAGGGCAAGAGAGAATATCTTGATATCTTACATAAATATTTGGAGATTCATGGAACCTTTTTTGGAGTTTCGGTATGTTTTGCTCGGTTTTATCCTCACCAGCAAGTATAACTAACATTGAATTAATTTTATCAAGACATTTTGTGTTGAAGTTATGAATATATGAAAATCATATATGCGAACTGCGAGGTGAAGAATTATATAAAGTAGATCATCGCAGTTATGGACGCAACGTTTGCATTTGCAAAAAGAAGGCCTGTTATTACCAGCTGGCTCCTCCTTCAAACTCTAATTGACAGAATATTTGTGTAAATTTTCGTGAACAGGAGGAAGAAATAAAAAAGAATGTGCCGGACTACGTGATCACCCATGGTATTCTCAGTAAACCTGATCTAGAAAAACTGTTACAGGATACCAAGGTTTGTTTCTCATTGTTTTGCATTTGGAGTTGTTAACCATTTCACTCCCAAGAGTCGCTCAAGTCAAACTTAGAGGAAGATTCCAAAGTTCAGTGCGAGCTTTCCAGTTTTCTCTCGGAACAACAGTGTTTGTGGCGTATACAGTCCAGAATTAGGGTAAACAGAAAAATAGTGTTGCGGAAACTTTGTTTCTTCTAATGTGATGTAACCGCGAAACATTGGTTGATGAATCTGATCCAATATGGCGGATTATCCAAGATGGCGGTCCTTTTCAATCATTACGTAATTTTCACATTTTGTGACGTCATCTCATAAACAATTAAATCATTCAATATTTAGGCAGACTGTCTAGTGTGGCGCTTGTTCCATGATGTTGTAAATTAATTTTTGTATTTTGTTTTTGATTACAGGTATTTATAGGTCTTGGGTTCCCATATGAAGGTCCCGCACCTCTAGAGGCTATTGCCCAGGGATGTATCTTTCTGAACGCTAAGGTAATCCGATAAATCGCGCAGTTTTGTAGTAGAGTTAATACAAGTGTGCTTGTTACTAATTATCATTAAATTTTCCTTGCTTTTCAGTTTGATCCACCTCATAACAGGATTAATACTGAGTTCTTTAAGCTTAAACCAACCCTAAGAGAGGTAAGTTCGTCGCTTCAGGGCATACGAACTCTGGAAATTAACTTCTCAAACTCATTATTTATTCATGCAGTCAACAGCCAATAAATAACAACCGTTTGGGTCAGGTAGATGAATCTTGATACCTAATGGAACGCCAGATAAAACACCGCCAGGTTTTCATCTCACCCTCATTTTAATGAGATGAAGGTTAATGTTTTATTGGTGAACACTACTACCTGACAACTCATGCAAATAGTGTAGTGCCAGAGAAAACATGTCGCTGCATAATTTCTTATTGCTTTATTTGAGAAGACATGTCAAAAACTCGGGTTTTGTGCTTCATCACGGGTGAAATCACTTTCATCTGTTGTCGAGGTGTTTGGAACCCGTGGTAAAGCATGAAGCGCTGGTTCTTGACAGATTACTGAGTCTATATGCTTTGAGCTGAAGAATGTGGCCTTTACAACTTATGCTGCGCCCCGTTAATGAATTCAATTCTTCAATAATTAATTATCGATTAACCAAGGGAAGACAACCTCCCTTGGAAAATTAAGGAAAACGTTTGGGCATTCTAAGGTGTAAGCATGTAGCGTTTTTAAGTTTTGAACGACTTGAAGCTCATCAGGCCCTTTAAAGTGTCAAATGAACTTTTTTCCCTACCACAAGCCTATTATCGAATAGTAATCTTTATGTATTTTGAAATACAATAGGACTTCAGCATCGAAACATGTATTGGAACTTACTGAAAATGGCCATTTCCGAGTTCCAAAAACTCAAAACGAGGCTAAATGCAAAGCCTTTCTTGATAACGGAGTTTTATGTACATGAGTATTTAAATTATTTTCATATCAATTGCTATACCTTCGTACTTAGCTTGACTTTGAAACAGGCTCTGGGCAACTCTCGCAAATTAGACTTGCTACAAGTCGACCTTTCATAAGTGCTTAAAAGTGAGCGAAGCGAGCTTCAATGCATGAGGTCGCGCAGCGACCGAGCGAGCGACGAAGTCTCGATCATATTATAAATTAACGCGGGAATAAAAAGGATTGACATATACTCTGTTGGGAGCGGCGTGAATTATCACTCACTGTTCTATTGCTCAATTGTCATGACGTCATCGGTAGAATTTTCGACCGTTGAATCTCGCGCCAAAGAGGTATGAAAAGTTCTTTAAAATGGAAAAAAAACAGGGAAAAAAATAATGGACTTTTAGAAAGTCTACTCGCAAATGGCCTATTTCGTTTGGAACTGCTGCACAAGCGATGTGTCATGTTTCATTGTCTTTAGCTTTCTCTGTCGTTTTTTGTTTTTTTTACAGTTGACTTCCCAACACCCGTATGCTGAGGTGTTTATAGGTGAACCGCATGTTGCTACTGTAGACATTGGGAACCTTTCGCTGGTAGAGGATACCGTCAAACGAATTTTAAACCTCGAGGTTAGTATTTTTAAAAAAACCTTGCAAATAGCATGTGCTCTTATTTCCACCTAAAGAGTCTTTTGTTTAGGTATTGATGTTTTTAGGAAAATATTGATGTTGGTCACTACAGGGACTAAAAGGGGTAATTGTAGGACGTTTGTGTTTTTCCCTTTTCACCTTGTGTTGGTCTTGGAGAGGATGATTGAAACCGGATCCTTGGCGAAAATGTCTTTGCTCAATATGTGCGGTGCGCAATATGTGATAAACCTATGCTGTGAGCAAAATTGCAAACTTCACGAGAATAGCAACTTCGATGTTCTACCAATTGGCCGAAAATGGTGCTTTATAATTTGTACTCGGATTACGTTAGTTTGGACCTGCACGTTTATCCCTCTCACCCTCCCCTCCCTGATTACGTCAGTTTGGACCTACACGTGTAGCCCTCTCACCCTCCCCTCCCCGTTTACGTTAGTTTGGTCGACCTACACGTTTATCCCTCTCACCCTCCCCTCCCCGATTACGTTAGGTTGGACTTACAAGTTTATCCCCTTCACCCTCCCCTTCCCTCCTCTGAAAATGAAAGAAAAATAATTTGTTTGTTCACGATTTTAGGTGAAACCTTACTTACCTCTGGAGTGGACGCCTAAAGGAATGCTGGAACGCGTCAATGCCTTCACCGAGTATTATGTAAGTACAGTACGTGCCAGCTTTGCCCGCTCGTAAGGACTGATTGGATGAAACCAACGTCACGTGGGTTTTCAGGCGGCAAGCAGTTGACGAAAGTCTCCAATATAAGTTATTGCGCTCGGGTTTGTTTAGTTTGGACTGCAAAAAATAAAGTCAACTTGAAATGTTTAAGACGAAAATAGAAAAATATGTGTGCTCTTCGTATCAACAGTCGTTAATCTCTGACTCGTCCCAGTCATCTTTCATTATTAATATTTGGCGTGGAAGACTAGAACGGGCTCTTTAACGAAGGGGATGACGGGAAGGAAGAAGGGAGAAGGGAGAGACCTCTCGCCTTCCAATTTTCCCCGCGCGCATAACCCAAGCGCTTCCCTTGTAAATAATTAATGAGCAGAGACAACTTGGAGACGACTGGGGACGAGTCAGCGTTAATCCAAAAAAGACGCGGCAATGATTGCCCAGCCATATTTTGCTACTCACTTGATAAATTGAAAAATCTAACTAAGGAGGTGCGATAAAACTCTCAAAGTTAAAATACAAATGCTCATTATGTTCTTTTTGTTCGCTTTTTTTTTTATTTCAAAGAACTTTTGTAAGCATAGTGAAAGATGGCCGCCATTATCCGAGATGAAGTTGTTCATGGGTGAAGCGGGAAAGTCTTGTGTAGAAGTTTGCAAAATGTCTGGTGAGTTAAATAACGTGTATTGTAACACTATCTATACATCCTCGGAGACCTAGGGGCAGATAGTGGGTGCGAGGGAAAGTCTAAACGGGCGGAAAAATATGGCACGAAGAAGAAAAGCAGAGAACGACGAGTAGAGCCCCTGGGGACAATGTCTTACCAGACCAGTTCCAAACTGTCGCGGTCGTTCTGGCTTCTGATTGGTGCCAGAAAACTTTTGTGTTTTTCTGCCCAATCAGAAGGCAGAACGGCGGCGACCGTTTGGAACTGGTCTGATAAGACCAGAGGCTCTTCTCGCCGTTCTTTACTTTTCTTCGTGCCATATTTTCCCACCCGTTTAGACTTTTCCTCGCCCCCACTATCTCCCCCTGGGTCTCCGAGGATGCTATCTATACGGCTCTGCTATCTCGGTCGCTGTGGAAGTGTAGGACAGGGGGGCGGGAGACCGAGGGAAGGGGGGGGGGTGGAGGAAGAAGAAAAGGGCAGGAGGTGAAAATTCTAAAAGGATGGGAAGCGGGAGAAATAGGAAAAGTAACGTAACAATTGGTAATATTTTGGCATTCGAACTAAAGGGCTAAAAGGAGAAAGCGAACTATAGGAACGGGAAGTACAGGAGACGGGAGGTCTGGACCCCCTGCGCCCCCCTCCCCTCCCCCCACCCCGCTTAAGGGTTCACTCTAGAACCATTGGAGCACTTTTTGTTCCTTCCTGCCATGTTTTTATGAATTTTATCAATTTAGACGTCTTCAGTATTCAGACTGCGCTATTTTTTTCAGTAAACAAATGCGTAAATTTTTTTTGTATGTGAAACCCTTTTTGGCAAATTACCTTTCAACTGGAAAAGCTGTTTTTTTTAGTTTTTGCTCATAAACTACTCCAAGCGCACGTGGTGAAACGTTTAGACCAAAAATACGTCACTGCACTTGCAAAATATGTATACCTACCCCTCCCCTGACATAACGTTGACACTAAATTCTCAGTAATCAGCAAAATTTTGGATTTAAGACTAGTGGAGGGGGATAAGAGGGCACTTGGGTTGTAGTCTACTTAAAAGGCGTTGTTTTTTTTCGCGTTTTTCAGGCGAGCTAAGTCAAGCACGAAGCGAGCGAGGAGCGCCAGACCCCCAGTCGCGCGCGTCTGGCGCTCCTCGCTCGCTTTGCGCTTGCTTTAACTCGCCTGAAAAACACGAGAATATAACTCCATTTATGCAGGCTACCTGGATGGATTTATTTGCAGCATATGCGTTGGCCGTCGCCTTTATCTGGAGTAACTTTTTTTTTTTTCAGTTCAAAATTAAAACAATAAAAAAAATTCCGGCGAGCAAATGAGTGAATCCACTCCAAGAATCGTATGATTTGCTGCACGTGCAAAATATTGTTGTGTTCACCCAACTAGACAAAACGGTGTTGTACAACACATGTTTCCCTTGTATTTGGATATATATTGTACAAATTTTCCCAAAAATCTTGTTAAATTAAATTTCAGGGTTATTGTTCTTTCTTGGGCGAGTTTTTAACTCATTTTTTCCTAGATCGCCCAACTAAAACAAGGGATTTAATTTCTGTTTTCTCTCGACGCTTCTTTTCGCCCCTGGTAAGACTAATAGTCACAAGACAACATCATAACAAGCAAGTTAAACGAAATAAATAACAAACAAATTTAGCAAATACGAATTTCGACGGGTGTAGGAGTTTGATAGCCATGTTCTAGTTCGTTTATTGATCATGATATTTTGCCGTTAATTTAGATCTCCTGTGTGAACCTTCTTACTTTGAAGATGTCAATAGTGGGGAACAATTAGAACAGTAAGTGTCTTAGTTAGATTTGGCCGCTGTGCGACTGTTATTTTTATTTCCTTGAAGGTTACGTTCTGAATTTGTCTTGGTGCAGCAAAATATGCATTCTCTGAAATTAGTTGGCGGTCTTTCTGCTGCCCATTAAAACACAAAGCGAATGCGGCCGAAGAGTGCATCTTAAATTAAACAAATCATATTTCATAATTTGTTGAAGTTCAGATGAGGAGCATTTAAAATGTGAAAGAGCTCTTTTATTTGGAAGCAATGAAAGTATATATACACTCACCTCGTCTGTTTTTAGTCCTTGCTTATTTTGAACGCAGTCGGGAAGAAACAAACCCACGAAACGAAGACATTCCGCTCTGTTGTCCTTGGCCAAGCCGTTAGGCGTGGGCATTTGCACGATGACGTCATTTTACTTCTACGACCAAAATCCTTCAGGGTTTTGCTTTCTTGTGCAAATTAAGACTTTTGTTTTTCAAACCTCGCTGGGATTACCAAATTAAGGCCCTGCTTATGTATGGTGAAAAAATAACCCTCCTTTACATGCAATCTTACAACACTTTCTCAAGATTATTGAATGGTCACTAAGCACGTAAACAAGAAAAATGCTGGGAAACCACGTGTTATGATGATTAATGCTCTTCTACACTCACCATAGGTTTTCATCCACAGACTCAAAAGTTAGAACCACATTGTACAGCATAATAAACAGTACCACAGTAAAGTACAGCCCAGTAGCTTTCATGTGAATGGTCACACTATAGAATTTCGTCCACAGATTAAAAAGTCAGAACCACCTCTCAAGACTGCATTTTCACTCTGGAGAGGAAGTGACACAAAAATGTTTCTTCTTGCAGGTTTGGAGTAAAATGTGGCTCAGTTAAAACAGAGGAATCCCTCTTGGCTCCTTGCTACAGCACGTCAACTAAGGCATGTACCTTGCAGAGATTTCCTCTTCTCTTCAGCTGC